AACCCATTAGAAAGCAATGCAAAACCCCCTCAGCAGTTAATGGTCTCAAGTCCACCAAGTTCCCCGCAGTTTCAATCTATTACACATTATTTTTCAGGGCAGGAATAAATGAAATAAGAGTAGCAAGACTGGGAAACATCCCATGCTTTTCCACTTGATGCCTTCTCTTACTGCAAACATTAATAATCCTGATGATGATTATGACGCTTGAATTTAATTTTATTTAATTTCTCTCCCTCTCAATAGCCAAAGCTCTCTGGGTGGTAAACAATGTGGCTGCAGACTAAACATCTTTTCATAAGTCATATTGAGAACAGATGCGTCCTGTTTGCAGCAAGAAACATGGGCAGCTGTTTCTGCTTTGAGCCAAAGGCTAGTGCTGATTGTCAGATGGAGATGGGTGCATGTGATAATGTTGGACTTTGCATAGAAACACATTTCCGTATGCGTTCTGACTCAGCTTGAGGGAACAAACAGTGGGTTTGTTTGGGGAAAACCAAAGCGAATAGCAATTGGCAATAACATTTATGTTTTCCCTTTTTCTGACTCACAGTTTCTCGGTACTGGGGAAAAACAAAAGAAAAAACACAATTTCTTCTTAATTTTCTAAGGGCACTGCACCAGACACATTAAAGGGATCAAGACAGGCCCATTATCAGTCAGGGATACTGAGGCTAAGCTCACGATGGGATCAGGCAGAGTTTCATGCCATCAGGCCAAATGTTCCCTGGCTAAGTGACCCACTGCCCCCCAGCCCTGTATATGGATGAAAATATAAACTAGGACTGGGGACAGATGCTGAAGGCATGCCTGAGTTTGCAGAGTCTAACCAGAGTTGGCATCGTCACCTGTCCCACTGGGGCGGCTGCTAGCATGCCAGCATTACCCCTTGCATTACCCCTTGCATTACTCCCAGCACCCCAAGACCACTGGATTTAGTGGCCTGTTACTTCCCCACAACCCCCCTGACCCAGATTGCTGTGGAGCATTGTGGGAGAGTAAAAGGGTAACTCGGGCTGGTCATCAGGATCCAGGATGCTCAGAGGCTTCACCTGGGGGTGAGAACCAGAAGCCCACCCCAGTGTTTGCAGGGATGGTCCCAGGCCCTGCTGGAGCTCTCAGCCTCCTGATGAGGGCCATCTGGGAGCCCTGGAGGAGGAGCTATATATTTATTTTTATTTATTTATTAGAACATTTCCATGCCGCCCCTTGCCGAAGCCTCGGGGCGGCTTACAACACAATAAAATACAATAAAATACAAAAATAACAGTATAAAATTAAAATTAACAATATAAAATCAATAAAAAATATAAAAGCTGTTTCCTCCAGAACTGGCCTCAGCAGCTCAGCTTTCTCTGCTTGCTGTAGGGCCTGCATCTTGCTGTGTATTCTGTCTTGCCGTGCTGCTTCAGCATCACAAGTCTTTCTGGTTGCTGTAGCTCCCGTATCTTGCCCGATGCAGATCCTGCCTTGCTGCATCTCTCCTTTCCTGCCATGTCCTGCCTTGCCCCATTGCCTTAGTAGGCCTCCTTGCTAGCTGTGGTCCAGCTCCTGCATCTTGCCTGACCCTTGCCATGTATCCGGCCCAGTTATCCTGCCACAGGGAACTTGCACCTCTGTTTGTCTTCCTGATCTCCACCCCTGGCTTGTGCATGACCACATCCTTGTTCTGCCCTGATGCATGCTCTGCTCCCTGGCCCTGGCCTGAGCTGTGACAACAGCATGAACTCACCACTGGACGTTGCTTTTGGACCTGGGACTCTGCTTTCCCTCAGGTTTTGCTGTCCTGGTTCCAGTGCTTCTGTCTTGTCTCCCGCCATCCACATTCTAGTCCTGAACCCTGACAGTTTGCTGGGTTTATACTGAGGACATTTCCTAAACCTCCAGCAGCCTTCCTCCAGTGGTTTTATGTAGATGCCCCAAGATATGGGGGGCAGGATGGAATCTTGTCACACTTCAGAGGCTAAGAGCCATGAATCATCTTCTGAGACAGCTCCTTCAGAAAGGACCAGAACCACCTTCATGTGATTCCTAAGCCCAACCAAGATAAATTATACAGAAGGGTACTATGATCAGATCTTCCACCATTTGCAACCTAAGTCATTTTATCAGCCCACCACCTCTGCAAACCAAGGTACTGACATAGTTTTATGACTAGGTCAGGGATGCCTGATGGTGATAATATTGAAAGCAGGCACCAGAGCTTTGGCCGTGGCTATACCTGCTGGAGATTTCCCAAGAGTTCTCAGAAATGTGTTGGGATTCATCAGCCACTGGAGCAGATAATTCAACTTTGTCTTTCACCCTTGTGGAGCTTACAGGTACCCTTAAGATCAAAACTAATCAGATAAAGACCTGTCACTGCTAGGTTTCCCACCTGCAGATCTTTTTGTCCCAATCCAATGCAGAAAATTGGATTCAAAGTGTGTCCTGCCACATGTGCTGGGTCAGATATTACTTGAGACAGCTCCATGGTTGACGTTCCTTGTTCCAAGGTAGTCTTGGCATTCATATTAAAGTCCCTCAAGACCCCAAGCCTTGAGGTCTCAATATGAGACTCAAGACCACCTCAGTCAGCTTAGGCAAGGAGTGTGTTTGGCAGGGGCAGAGGTGGTAGAATCCCAGTCCTTTCTCTGGTGCACAGTACCTGGTAGATACACTAAAAACTGGCTGATTGTTGGGTGGGGTATCTGATCATGTAGACCAAGGCTATCAGAATTCCTGCCCCTCTGGTTATGCATGGTGCTGCACAAGAAACCTTGGTGGGCACACATGAAAGAAGCTAACCTCTCCCCTAACCTGGCATTCATCAACATTAACTTTAGCCTAGACTGGGCTGCAGGCAAACCATCCAATGACTGAGGCTGAAGGTACACTACAAAGAAATGCAGCAAGCAGTTGTAGGTTTCTTTTGGGCCACTTGTGTGAACAGAATGATGGATAAATGGAACTTTGGTGTGACCCGTCATGCCTGTTATGTTGTCTCAACCTCTTTCCCATCAATTGATGTTATTGGCTCCCGCCACCATAACACCTCATGCCCTGTGCTACATTTAGAGTGGAACCGACCTCCTCCATTTCTAAAGGCATCACAAAACTTAGTTTACCTCCACACCCCATAACCGTCCCCCACAAAAAAAAAATCAACCTGTCAGCTACACGCAGAGACTGAAAAACGCTTTGGTGTGTCTCCTTGTACGACCCGGGGCAGTGGCAGCCTTCTGACACCAGCCACCAATGCTGAATTCTTGCACCTCATGGGAGATTCCCGATCCCACAAGTGAAGACCCTGAAGCCACTCAGGGATTCATGCTCTGCCTGGACCCCCACTGAGAACCACCCTCTGTCCTCTTGTCTGCAGTGGCAGAGAGGCAAGGTGATTGCATTCACTGGGAAACACTCCCCTGTTTTTATAGATGCTCCTGATGAGCAGCTGAGCCTTTTTCTGGTTTCTGCTGCACAAACACAGAATCATAGAATAGTAGGGTTGGAAGGAGCCGTGAAGGCCATTGAGTCCAACCCCCTGCTGTTGCAGGACACCACCATCTGCATGTTTATTCACAGCATTATGTGCTTGTTTAATTAGAGCTAAGCCCTGCTGGGTTGAGGAGAGCTCATTCCCAAGAAGCATGTGTAGGATGATAACCTTACTCTTATTTTCCCCCACAGCAGTCCACTGAAGTTTGTCCTTTCATTGATGGGTACCTGAGACCACCTTTTTAGCACAGAAGCTAAACTGAGACTCATGGCTCTCAATTCTGAATACAGCTTACTATCCCCAAGCTCAAAATGCCCTATTTGGTTGGTTGGTTGGTTGCTTGCTAGTTGTGAAGTCGTGTCTGATCCATTGCAGCCCCATGGACAACATTCCTCCAGGCCTTCCTGTCCTCCACCATCCCCCGGAGTCCACCCAAGCTCACACCCACCACCCCAGTGACTCCATCCAGCCACCTCATCCTCTGCCATCCCCTTCTCCTTTTGCCGTCAATTGATCCCAGCATCAGGGTCTTCTCCAGTGAATTGCTGCTTCTCATTAGGTGGCCAAAGTATTTGAGTTTCATCTTCAGTATCTGACTTCTGAAGAGCAGTCAAGGTTGAAAAACACCCTATACATCTGAACAATCACAACTGGATGCATCTCCATCTCCATCGCCATTGCCACATTGCATTTATGTCCTGGCTTTTTTCCCCTGTGAAGGCAGTTTAGAGAGCTCCACTCAATCCTCACAACATTAATTCTGCTTTTCTAATGTTGTGCAGATTAGGCCAGGCTGAGCATGAGTGACTGGACCAATGTCCCCCATTGAGCACCATGGCCAACTGGGACTAGAACCCAACTCTCCTGGATCCCTAATCCAACTTTCTAACCACCACACCACCACACTGACCCACAAAGGTATTTGGTTTTTTGAAATGATGCATCATAGCACATCTATTATTCGGCTTTCATTTAATGTATTCTGATCCTGCCTTTGAACTCAAGGCCTCATTCAAAGGGCTCTAATTAGTCTTCCATCCAGATAATGACCAGACTTAATGACTTGCTTAGCTTCAGCAACCTATTGGCATCATGTGACTTCAGACCACACTCAACATGGGTTGCTTCCTTCCTCAACTCTGTTGGTCTTGCTTTTTGCATTTCCCATTTTATAGTCTCATCTGCCATCAAAATCTAGACTCTGAAGTCCTCTTTCTGGGGTTTCTGAATTTCTGTAAAGTGCAAGATACTTTGGTGGAGCTACATAAATGTGCTAGATAATGTAAGAACATTAAGTGTCAAATGGGTGCAAAACCAACCAACATGTAGCTTTGGTATTTCGTAGAAGATCTAGACCAATGACATTCAGGAGTGAAAATCTTTAGGTAGCAGCAGAATGTTGATGGAGTTCTTCCGGCTATGTGAAAAGTTACATCTTTGAAGGCATTGAGATGCAAAGCAAAGGTATTACAATCAGAAACGCTCTTCAGACAGAAGAATAAAATTCAAGCAAGCTGAGCAATATATCTAAGGATAGTTTAATATAAATCAATGCGATTTGGTACACTACAGTGGAATGCAATGCAAATCAATTTTAATGCATTTTATAGCAACACGAAATGGCAAAAGTTAAGAGAGGTTGGGAATCCAAGCTCTGTAAGATTAAACTGACCTTGACATTATGAGATGTCTGTCCCCATAATGCAGTTACCATAAAAGAATCCAGTGCAATTGACCGTAATGTAGTTACGTGCTACGTACATCGATAAAATATACATCAGAAACTTGGCTAATGGATAGACACCACACACGTTAGATAGAGTTTCAAGAGAACAACCACTTAGAGCTGTGACCTTTAATAAATGACTAGCACTCAAAACGTTCAACATATTAGTATTTGTACCTTGCTTTAGCCAGTTCTCTGGTGCTAAGCAATTCCTTCAAGGCCAAGTGTTAGCCGACAGCCCTTGAATAGCAAAATATCATTTTTAACTAGCCTGTAAAGTGGTAGATAAGTCAAGTTTGAATTGCCTCAGTTAGAAAAAGCAATAATAGGGACAACTTAATGCAAATGTGATATGCTAATGTATTAACACTCTTCTTGAAAATGTAAATCATGGCAAGCGAAAGCAGCTGCAGCTACTCATCTCCTACTTTCTCAACACGCTTAAAACTAAATATTGGGTCTCTGAGCTGGAGAGAACCCTTGTGCCTGCGCTTGTAACAATAGATAAATGTGGCAGGCCTGCTCAAACTGTAAGGGAGTCACTGCTGAAGAATGGGTGGTTCAGCAGGTTTGAGAGGACTTGCTGAGACGCTATAACAAAAAATGTATCACGGAGGAACTTTCAGCGGGACAGATTTTCACTATTTTGGACTCCAATGGGTTTTCTCAACCCATCAGTCGTCAGACTTGAAAAATACAGAGGAGTAACAAACTTGGCTACTCAGGGATAGTTGGTGGATCATGCCTTTCTGTGCTCCATTTTGTTCTTCGGCATGGGCATAACTCCTCTGCATCAAGAAACTTCTCTGAATTTGCAATCCGCTGTTGGGGTTCCATAACAAGCTACTGCATTTGTGACCTTTGGCATAATGCTCATGTAACTGGAGTTCTTTTCTTTCAGTGTTGTAGTGGCCCATCGCCCATACATGGACCAAATTGCCTGTGTGAGTTTCGGTGCAATTTGTCCAAACACCGATGGACATTGAAATTAATGCTTGCTGTCATTAATGCCTTGTTGTGTCCTCCCTTCTGAACCATGGAAAATGTGGCAGATAGGAAATATAATGGAGAAAGTTGGAGAAAGATGGACCAAGGAGAGACATAGATGAACTTCTGTTCTGAATAGGCTTCATGAAGAATAAAAGATGACAATTATTTCACCTGTGGAAACAAAAGTGGTGGGGGAGAAAATAAGAGATTCAAGCATTTATTCATCCATACCTATTTGAATGATCTAGACAGGGATGGGGGAATGCCTCTAGGACATTGTTTTGCTGTTGTTCAAGGACATTGCGTTCAAGGGCCCATTGATGCCGGACTGTTTTCATGCTCTTACAAAAGATGGAGAACAGCCAGTCATTAGGCAAACAGGTGGATAGGCAGACAGAAGGCAATGGATGTTCAGGATGACATCCTAAGGATGACATCCTTTGGTGATGAGGTGCACTAGAAATTTATTATTATTATTATTATTATTAACAAATCCAGTGTGTCACTGAAATAATACATCACTCCATGAACTCAGGCTGGTCAATAGGGTCCCTTCTCCCCAGCCCATTTTATCCAACTGTGTGTAACTGGCCTGAGGTCATCCAGGGAGCTTCATGGCTGAGTGGATGAGACCCTCTTGAGACCCTCTTCCTTTTTCCGACAATTATAAGTGGAAACTCCCAACATATTGTGATTGGCCTTCCCCCACTCCAGTCATGTTTTTGCCATGTTTTGCGATGTTCCCCCAACCCTCCAGGACAGCCAATTTGTGCAGGGATCATCAACGCTTTCTTAAAATTCTGGAAGTTGCTATGTTTCAGAAGGGTTGGGAATCCCTGGATTTTGCAAATCAATTGGCCTAGAGAATGTGATGGTTGTACACTTGTTCGGTAGAAGGGCAAATAGCCAGACGGAATTATGGGTGAGTAATGGGAAGACCAGTGTTTTCCACACCTATCTGCTGCTTCCAGGATTTCACAAAGAGCCCTGTCCTTTTATTTACCTTGATGAAAGTGACAAGGCCTCCATAGAAGAGTGCAACAACAAAGAGCACCATGAAAGTGGAGACTTTGTTCCAGACACTGTTGGCATCCTCCAGTTCGCTGTACTCATCTTCATTTTCATTGCGGACATCACACAAGGCAACCCCCATGATGGCACAGTCCCAGGAATCTGCAGCATGGAGTGAAATGGTAAGATTATCCAACAGAGAAGAACGGGGCCTCCAAAAGAGACAGCACTACAACAGACCCGAAGGGAAATACTTGGTCTAATGACACAACGGGCAAGGAGATCTGAAGGCTTCTTTCTTCATGAACCTGTTCAGTTATTAAGATCTGTAGGAGATGCCCCTGTGAGGATGCAGCCACTTCCAAAGGCCCACTTGATGGGTGCATAAGAGGGGTCTTTTTCCTGTGCCACTCCCAAATTATGGAACATACTTCCCTTGGAATTACAATCATTCACTTCTCTGCCTGCTTTTAGAAAAGGAGCCAAAAGGTGTATTGTTAAGTTGGCCTTTTGAATGGTTCTAGCAGTGCTGCAGTTCAAATTGTTTTAATGATAGCTTATCATCATTTTTCGTTTTTATGAGCTTGTGTTTTTACTGCTTTTTGACATCTTGAATAATATCTTTTTGAACAGAAAGATGGTAAAAGAAATTGCAAATAAAAAACAAATAGTGAAGATTTATTTATCTAATTATAGCATTTTTAGACTGCCCATCGGTTGAGTCCTCTGAGTGGTTTACTGAACTTATAAGTCAATTAAATGCTAAATAAAATAAAGTGACTTAAACATCAGTTTAAAACAACATCAGTGCAAATATCAGAACGCTTGCAGATGCCTGTATCAAAGCAGAAAAATAGCACAAAAACCAGAATAAGTGAGTAAAAAAAAATGCTTTGGGACTTTTATTTAATACTTAGCAGTATAAAAATATTACAAATAAATAAATAAAAGCCAATAGAAAACCAGCCTCAAATGAAGTAAGGGGAAAATGATCAGCACCTAAAATCTAAAACACATAAAACTCACATTTGGAAAAATGAATAGTTTTCTGCTGGGGCTGAAAAGACTACCAGGCAGGTGGCAAGAAAGCTGGTCAAGTTTCTCTGAGGTCACACAGACCTCATCAAAATCAACACCATTTCCTAGAATGTCTCTGGTGCATGGAATCCCCATAGAATGTGGAATCTGATTGTGTAGGTTTCTACCTGAGTATTGGATCAGGGCACAAGGTGCTAATCAATGAAGAAAGCAAGAAAGTGCTCATTGATGATTCCTTTAATATCAAATTGCCGGGTACAGAAAAAGTGAGATATAACAGAAGCAAATGAGCATCCCATTTTAGAGGCATTAAGAACAGCAGATGGCCCGACTCAAGGAGTCAAGAAAATGCGTTTGCAATTAAGTCAATCATGTGGGAAGTACAAACAGCATAGTTAGTTTATTTATTTATTTTATTTTTTACCAGAAAAGATATTGGCTCTTCTAGTTATGATGTTTTCAGAGGAGATGTGAACTACAAGGCATGTGTAGGAGACTCCCATCATCCACTTGCTTGTGGGGACTTCCAGGATGCTCACTAAGGAACATCTCTGTTCTTCATGATTACAATTCAAATCGTGGGCCTCATAACTCTTCAGTGACCTCTCCTTGTCCTCCTCTTCCCACTTCAGGAATATTTCTGCTGGGTAGAAGTTTCTGGCCATGCACACTAGGGTTACGTTCATGCCTTCCTTGGAAGACTGTTGGAGGTAGACTTCAGGAGCCTTCATAATGCCTGTGTTAGAAAAGACAGGCAAATGGCCAAATGAAAGGTACAACATAATCCAGAACCAAGAACCTGTCAGCCAAAAATGTCCCACAAGTTCCAGGATTCTCTAGTCAACTATACCTTGCAGCACTAAATTTTAAAATCTAAGCATTCATAGGATTGTTCCCTTATAAAAATCAACCAATCCTTTTTCCTTCCTTGGGGAACCCTAGGAATGATAAGTTTTCTTGGCCAGTTTTTCCAGTGGGTGTTGGCCAGGGCTCTTTAATGGTATTCTGACCTCCTTCATTAAGGTCCAGCTCCCAGAATTCATGAGAATCATTGGCATAAAGAGGTATAAACTTTTCCCTGCAGGTATTTCCCAAGACAAATGGCTTTATATTTATGGAAGAAAATGAGAGTTCGGTTAGAATTATCCATTATTGTCCACTTCCTGCATCATCTATTTGAGTAAGAAAGCTGGTTGTGCAGCTTTTTGCAGTTCCTTCTCTGTGTTGCCAAATTACCCCTTGCTCTGCTTATAGTGCCTCACTATTCTCAGTGTCCTGCCCACCCTTTCGTTCGGTCCTTACCATCCCTTCGGTCGAGGTTCTGTTTAGTTTCTCCTAGGTCATTGTGGATGTTACAGGTGAACATCCTGGTGGCTCTCCATTCAGACAGATTCACCCACAGCTGGCCAGCGATCCAAAGGGTGCTGTTGTCTTCTGAAAAGACTTCGGTTGTCACAGCATTCATGTCAGCAGGTTTCCCATCCATTGTCCAATTGATGATTGAATTGGAGGTTGCATTCACAAGAGGCATCTTGCAGGTTACAGCTGCACGTTTGTTCATGAGGAGGTCTTCAAAGGATGGCGGCTGCATAATGATCTCCGTCTTGTTGTGAACAGATGGGGTCATGCCTTCCAAAATAAATCATCAGGCCCAGTTAGCTTGAGATGTGCCATCCAAGCTGGCATTTGTAATACCAAATCCAAACCTAGCATACCTCATGAGGCTTAAGCAGAAGATGTATAAGAGTGTTGAACATCACCACTAACCACCTATCACTTCCTCCCATTCAGTGCAAAGGCAATATTAGCACCCCAATGGTTACAACTGCCAGCAAAATACCAGCTTTCTTAATGGTTCCTGCTAGTTGTGCAGCTGTTAAAGGTACAAGGTGCTTTTTTGTTAGTTTTGTAAAGGAACTACAGCCTGGCAGCTTAGAAGGGTAGGAAGTGCAGAATCCTAGAAGGATATATTGGCAATTACCAATGTAAATATTTAACAGTGAGGAAAATCTACCCTGCAGATGTGCAGGGGCACTCTTTTCTCTGTGAGCATTGGCTTCCTTCTGTTTCCCATTTAAGCACATAATTTACCTGCACGTTTTGACTTACCACAAGAAGGCACGGTCTTCTTAATGAAGGTGTTGGTTGAACTATGAGTAACAGCACATGTATACATTTCTTGCTTCTTGCATTCTTCTCCTCTGAGTACCAAACTGCAGTTCTTCTGGAAGGTCCCATCAGTGAGGGAGAGTGAACTTGAAGATTCTGAACTGCAGCTGAGATTATGTCCTTGGATGCTCCATTGAATGTTTATATTTTGGGGATAGAAGTTGGTGGCAAAGCAGACAAGTTTCTGGCATTCCCCATCCTCTGAGGTATGAAATACCATCACTTTTGGGGAAGCTGGTTCCAAAAAACCTGAAATGAAATGGTTGATCTTTTGGTTGCAAAAACAGAACTTGTGTGTGCAGGAGACAGTTTCCTGTGAGTATAATGAATTAAAAGCTTGCCACCGAATAAAAGCTTTTGACAACCAGCTGTGCATGCATTCACCCCATAGATGTCAATGAAAATACATCCTGGAGGCTTACTGCCTGGTGACAGAAATGTGTAAATAGCCAACCCTGCCCAGACACCACAGACAGAGCTTTTACCACCAGGCGTAATCTCAGATACAGCATTTTTACATAATGGTAGCTTGGTATTCATCAAGAATAGTGTGTTCATGGAGTTAAAACATGTATAAACCAGCTGCTGTGAAGCGCATAATATTTGTGCTGTGCAAGTTTAAAACTTGTCCTATTTTTGGCCAGCAGAGCAACTTCCTGTGCTCCAACTTCCCATCCAGTTCTCTGCTGATGCCCTTCATGTCTGTTAAGGACTCATGCCCCACTACATAGGTGTATAGGGCTCTAGTTTTCCATTCAGATGCTGGAACTTTTAGGATGCTTTGAGTGGTAAAGGTGGGGCTTCCAGATGCAGCAACTGGAGGCCATGTGATATATTCAGAGTTATGCTGATGTTGTTCTTCTTCCAGCTGATGAGTATTTCGACTGGGAAGAATCCAGAGATCTCACAAGCCAACAAAGCTACATCTTGCGAAGTTGGTTGCATCAGTTTTGCTGGCGATGGAAAGACCAAGGAGAGAGACGGAGCTTTAAAGTTGGAATCTATACAGGAGGGGATTAAAATAGAAATGTTGACAAATACGGACCTTCAATGGGAGGTTAAAAGAGAGATGTGGATGCTGAGAAAGTAGTGAATTACACTGTTTCTATATTAGAGACCATCATTAACTTTCATGATAGATGCTTCAGAGGCTCTGTGTCTACATCATGTCTATGGCCTTTAAGGCCTTATGTGAGATGACTGAAAGAAGAGCAAAAGAGATTCCAGATATTTTTCCCTTATGATCAACGATACAGAGAAACTTCAGAGTTTTCAAAGGCATGTTGTGTTCATAACCAACCATTTTAAAGACAGCGCCTGTTTCTTCTGAATTCTTCCCTCACCTTTGGTTTTTTGGACACTCTTCTTCATGACTGGAAAGAAGGAGCAGGGATGAGAAATTAAGCACTGGACTTTGTTTCCAGAATCCCAGTCCTGCCCAGGGATGTTCAACAGGCTTTGCAAACTCTGGGTCCCATTTTTGTGGGTGTGGATGCTTGATGCGTTGACATCCTTGGTCTGGTTAAGGTCATTCACCATTCAGGTGAGTATGAGATGGTCCAGCTCATATCCCACCACGAGACAAGTGAGGAGTGCTTTGCTTTGTGTGAGTACTCCCTCGAGAGGTGGCTTGAAGAGGCAGAGGCTGGGGCTTGGGATACTATCTTTACATGCTAGGAAGGAGCAAAAGACAAACATTGCACTTTAGGATGGGCAGGGAAGACACTTGCTTTTGGAAGGAAGAGAAATGGAACCCTGGAGAGAGGAGAAAGGGAAGGGTGATCTTAGCCTCGTTGACATCAGATCTAAGAAGCCCTCAACTAGTTTTCATAGTGATTTTTGAAACTGGTCATGCTACTGTTACAAAGGGATAATGCTTGGATGCTTAAATGCTCGAAAGTACTTGCCCAGCCCTTTATCATGCACAGACTGTGGTGGTCTAGTGATGATGTTAAATTCCTGGAATGCTGGGTTGCCTTAGGTGCAAGTGGCGCAAAGGAAGGAGGCCAAGCAGAAGAAAACAAAATCAGGAATACAGTTTCTGGTTGGAAACGGGCGAAGGATGGAGAGAGAGAGAGTTGCGTCGTCACTGGTGCACTTGCTGCTTCTGCTTGTGTTGGTGTTCTTTGTTCCAGGTTGGGTCACCGTGCAGGTGTATCCATGCAGGATGTTCCACTCCTGCAGAGGCACAGTCAGGTTGAAGCTAGTGTGGAACTTGCCCCCAGTCTGCAGAGTTTCTTGCTTTAGGATCCTTTTTGCCTTCCCACCAGCCTTCCAGGTGACATGGATGTTCTCCAGGGAGTAGCCATAGATGGAACAGAGCAAAGTGATGTTACTGTTCTGATTTGGGGTTGTGATGGGGCAGAATGGGTTTGCGCTGAGAGTAGATGTGAGGACTGTGGGCATAATCCAGTCTAAGGAAGGAAGGAAGGAAGGAAGGAAGGAAGGAAGGAAGGAAGGAAGGAAGGAAACACTTCTTCTATTCATGTTTCTTTTGTAAGACTGTGATGACTGTAGAATCCTCAGAATAGTGCTACTGAGTTTACAGTGAAGCCTCCAGTACCTCAAACATGGCATGTGCTTCATTACGTAGCCTTGTATCTCAAGTTTTCACCACTCCTTCTGTCCATGGCTCACCCATCAGAAAGCTGTTGGCAGTGGAGGCTCAGGCAGTGGGGCAGTATATCCCGTGGGCTTCTGGAAGGATCGATCCACGCTTCTGCACCCTATTCCCCCAAACAGGATCAGCACCATGGACAGTCCCTTAAAAGTCCAGACTACGATCTACACTACCCCACTGGCTATGGATCCACCAGCTTCCACTGGCTGCTTGAAATGCACGTCTTCATCTCTCAGTCTCATACTGCACCATCCATTTCTTCAAGGCCCACATGCTTGCAGAAATTCTACAAGGATTCTGACAGAGCATTGTGAAGGTAGCTTTATCTTTCCCGCTTTGCATCATCCATACCGAAGGTTGAATAGTCTGAGAAGGGCAGCTCTCACATTCTGGTGAGTTATTGTGTAGCGTAGTGTTTTACTTCATCTTTTTTTGGGGTGATCCTTCTGACAAGCACTGAATCTGTGCCTTTATGCACCACCTCAAAAGTGCTCACTTTTTGCCATCAAGAGAGAGAAAGCATACATTGACTGTTGGTCTTGTATATTCCATCCACCATTTTTTGTTCTGCAAGTGCTGCATTCTTGTTTTGTGGACTACTATTCCACTTGATGGTAACATGGGATGGTGTAAATTGGTGTCCTGCAACAGCAGGGAGTTGGACCTGCTGGCTTTCTTGGCTCCTTCCAACTCTGCTATTCCATGACTCTATGTCTGGGTGTGTAGTCAAATGCAACATTTTAGCACTGTGGTTTTCTTCACTGGGTCTACCGACTGCAGGAGTTCAACAGAAGGAGCTTTAGACTTGAGTGGGTCTGTGAAGAAACTGTGGTTATAAACAGCCTTAATGACAAGAAAAAATAGCATCATAAGGTGAGCTAGGAAGACATCAAATTACCTGGAACAAGGAAAAGGAATCCCTCAGGAGCATAAGGAAAAAGAATGAAGAGATTCTTCATGGGTCAAACAAGCTGAACAGCTAACCAGGACCTTGTGTGTCTTCCTGGTGTAGGCAGTAGAATTAATTGTTGCTGTGCAACGCAATGGGTGTAAGAAATTGACAAAACTAGGTCTTTTGGTCAATGGAGTTAGAGTTGCATAAGAGCCATTGAACTGGGGGCATGCCATGGGGGGTGGGGGGATCTCCTCCCACTCCAAAAATTCAGATAGTCTGGTAGGAAAATGCATTATGTTGAATACTCACTTGCTTAGCAGCTTGTAACTTATTTTACTGCTTTAACAAAACAAAATATATAATTGACATTTGTGTGATGCATAATATCCAATGATATATGTATATGAAAGTTGCAGAGTGTACCACGTCTTTTGTACTACTGTTGTTTGAGCAGAAAGCTGACTACAAGGGAGGGGCTGGGTCAAAAGACAATGGATGGATACTTGCTGCACACGGCTCTACATTAGACCAAAGCTCATAAGAAGACTGTAAACAACAGTTAACATGGTAGTATCTAAAAATCTTCATGCAACGTATTGCGATTTAGTAAAATGCTGTCTTTAAAAATAATTTCAGCCATTCCAAAAGATAAAAGATTTCATGTTTATCATTGCAATAATTGCAAAAAGACTGAGGGGAAGGAGGAAATGGAGCCCCATATTCCCTGCCCCAGTTCTTTTGGGGCATGTGTGTTCCAGATTATGTCAGAAATTGCTTAATTTACAGAGCATCTTCCTTGAATATCCTCTTTTTTGCTCTGTATTCTTGTTTTCCTAAAACAAGAACATTTTCGATGACTGCAGATTTTAGAGTTCTCCCAGAGACTCACCAATACCCAAGCCTGAATTCTTATTCAAATATGTGTGTAATTAAGTGGAAATCTTACCACCCACCAATCCTCAGGCAAAGGGGTAGAATAAATTACTCCCACTGCAAAGGACAGAAGTGGCAAAGGGGTACAATAAATGTTCTGTCTGTGGTGTCTGGTTCTGGTGGATGTTTGAGACATGTAAATTAGCATTAGGGTAATTCGAGTCACATCCTTGGCTTGAAGGTAGGGTTAAACTTTAGCCTGAGGACTGGATTGTATGCCAGGTTGCTTCCCACTATCTCAACCTTTGCTGTGATACTCAGGCTACCCCCCTCCCCCATTAATACCCGTGTGTTATGGTTGCAGCTTTTGCATCAGTGCATGGCAGGAGTACTTAAGCGTCATTCCTCCTGCTGGAGAGATTAGGATGCACCTGTGTCTCCCCTGCTCTGCATCATCACAAGGTTTGCATGGTGCAGATCCCTCCTCCAACACTGTTTCATTGCTGGCCACAAGGCAGGAGTAGATTTGCACTGGAAATTGCACCAGCCCAAGAACCCTTGGGATGGCTCTTAGATGCTTTTTTTGCATTATTCTTTTCAACTGGACTTTGCAAACAAGCAAACAAGAAAACAATCACAGACAGAAAGTAAAGTATAGGCAAATGAGCTAAGTGAGCAAGACATGTGCCAGTGTACAAACTGGAACTGGAAGTCATTTCAGTTCCTACCACTGGAATGCTGTCTTCTAGCAATCACAAGACATTTCTATCCAAGGATGTGTAATCTATTGTGATTTGACGCCTTTACAGGGGAAACTCGGCTGTGGGGAGATGATCATTCATACCACAAAGGCTACTGATGATGATAGCAATATAACCCTGCACAAGCCACTTACCAATGGGGACATTTTCACTGGCTGTGATTGGTGTCTCAGAAGAGGAATGGTGGACCACACAGCTATAGTTGCCTGCCCTCCCCCCTGGTTCATCGCGGCTGATCTTCAGGAGGCTGTAAGTGTTGTAGAGGCTCCCAGCGGGCATCACGATCCCATGGTCATAGAGGTTTTCATTCAGAGCTTTGTTGTCCCTCTGCCAGGAGATGCTAATTTCCTGGGGGGAAAACCCGCTCACATCACAGAGAAGAATCAGAGCCATGGTGCTCTTGAGCGAGACATCAAGGAACGCTCGAGAAATGGCAATGGAGGGCTTTGTGGTGTCTAAATTGACAAGGGAAAAGAGAACACCACGTGCCACTTTGTTAATTGGATTTAAAACTCACATGTTGTTGTTATTGTTATTATTATTCCTATTATGAATTTCATTTCTATATTGCCCCACAGCTGAAGTTTACAACCATAAAACCATTAAAATATCACAAAATCAGAGAAAAATATTTAAAAGTTCTAAACAGCTAAAAACAGACAATAAAAACAAACCACAGCAGAAATAGCAACAGATGGCTCCTCCTAAATGAACAAGACTGGAAATAAGGGAGGGAAAAAAGATTTTTTTTCCAAATGTTTGCCTGCTTCATTTTGGGACCCTGTAGTAAAAATACTCTCGATTTTACCTCTTCAGTGCTTATTCACAGCCATGGGTCCCCTTTGCTGCTGACAATTTCTGTTTCTCCATCTTCTTCTTTTCTTAGAAGGAACACATTGTAAAGTAGAAGGCAGAGCTGGCTGGAGTCAGGGAGTCAGGGGACATGACTCATTCCCTGGTACATACTGAGCCCTTTTTGCATTTGGTGAAACACTCAAAAAAGCCACAAGTGACACTAGGATCAAAAAGAGCTGACCAGAACTGCAAGGCTTACTCTAGGAATATTCCTGCCCTCAATCAGAATGAACAAACACCCAGCTCCCTTTTTAGCTCACTCGAAAATACTACTATTAGTATTATGTTGCTTTTACATCTCACCTTTTCTCATCTTGAATGTGATCCAAGGCAGTTTCATAGCTCTATCTTATCTTCACGTCAAGAACCCTGTGAGGTAGGTTAGTGACTGGCTTTGAGTGACTGGCTCAAAGTCACCCAGAGTAGAGGAGGGCTTTTAAAAGGTAATCTTTCAATCTGTGTGATTTTTGAGGGAACAGGGCCCCAGTGGATGAAATAGAGACACAGAAAAGCAGTAGAGATTTTTCAGGAATGTTTTGTAAGTAGGATATGTTAGAGTACTGGTGTAACACTTATGATGGAAGGGTGAGATGTAAAGGAGTACCAGAAAGTCTTGTTTGAAACCCTGAGAAAACCACAGCTGATCAAGACAGACCGAACTGAGCAAAAAGAACCAAAGTGTAGCTCAGAGTAAGGCAGATTGACAGAAGGTATTTCTAATGTCCTTCTGTCACAGACTTTTCAGTTTCTGTTTTTAATTTTATTTCATAAAACCGGGATTTGGGTGAATAAGCCCTGATCAATATCTTGCATGTGCATCATTCCAATGAGGACCACAGAGGAGAATTTTTCTCTCAATGGGATAAAGTGTCTGTGTAAGCAGGCATTAGATTTTCTGCCTCAGGCACCATGGGGTGGCCACAAGTGCCACGGGGTTACCAGCCAACCAGTTCTTGACTCAAAGCCACCCATGAGTAGAGTAGATGGAAGCATGGCAGGAGAAACCCCTTTGAGAAACCAGACCAGGTTGTGTGCACTCACGTGAATCCGTTTTGATGGTTACTTCTTTGGAGACTTCTTCATAGCATGGCCCAGCAGCTTTGCAGGTGAATTTGGTGCCTCTTCTCCACTGCTCCAAAGATACCGGGTGGAAACCTCTCACGTTCTGACTTCCGCTTGCGTCTACCTTCACCGCATCTTTCTGGCCTTCAGTGCTGCGCTTGTCATCCACATACCAGGTTATATGGACATTATCAAGGTTGAGGCCAACCACAGTGCAGGTCAAATTTGCTTTGCCCTCAAACAGGTTCTTTGGGGATGGCTTGATGACAGAGATGGTCAATTGTTGCACCGAGCTGCAGCAGGCTGGGGAACATCATAACAGGAGACAGGGAGCAGGGAAGAACGCATCAGTATTTGAAATCAGCACCGTTCATTGAATATATGGGCAAACATAGAAACAGAGCGAGTCAGAAGGGGCCTCGCAGCTGGCTCTGCTCACGACATGCCCACCATGTGCACGTCCAGCCTGTCTTTGAACATGCGCACCAATGGGGCCTCAACCACCTCCCGGGGAAGCCCAGTCCACGCCCTCAGGGTCCTGACTGTCAGGAAGTGCTTCCTGGCATCCAAATGGAACCTTGGCTCCCTGAGCTTTGCTCCATTGGAGCACGTCCTGCCTTCCTCTGCAAGCAAAGGCTTGATCAAAGCAGATGCCCATGCACTGAATACCATGGGTACTCCACCCCACTAAGCAAGGGATTGGGCCGTAGGTGATTCTTGAAGGTAAGAAAAATGATACTGAAGAGTGAAAAAACAGTGCTTCTAAAAAGTCTTTGCTTATTATCATGTTGGCATGAAGGAGAAACTTTTTAATACCAATCAAAATATGCATATACTGTGCTCCAGTGCATGGGTCCTTCCATGCCCGAATGCAGGTCACCTGCACTTATGTGACATGGTGGGACATGGCAAGATGTATGCAGACTAAGAACACTCCAGCCCCAGAAGATTGGAAAGTCAGTGGCAATTCTTTATGGAACTTATAGAAGAAAAGCCATGGCTGCCTGGTACTAATAGCCGGCATATAAAGAACATGTGAACAAAATCCTGCAATCCTAGACTCAGGTAACCTGTCTGCCCTAGGTTTTCCTCTTGCTGGTGTTGCCCAGATGTACCTGTGGGGCTCATTACTTAGCCTTGCTGCTTATATCCTGATAACCACCCACACTTCTTGCCTATTTGGTCATTTCCAGCCACCCATCAGCCCTGATTTTGAGGACAGGTGTCCCTCACCTTTGCACTTGCTGGTGTTGCGCATGGTTATGTTCTCGCTCTTAGGTGGACGGTAGACTTTACATGTGTACTGGTCCCCTTTCTCCCAGCTGTCTTTGAGGATGTTCTGTCTGACAAAACTGGAGTAAGTGCCCTCCAAGTTCTTGCTTGCAGTCAACATCACCTCCACTTTCTCTTGAAATGCTTCTCCATTCTTCAGCCACTCCACACCAGCACTTCCAGAACCAAGGCTCCGAAGGAGGCAGACCAGCTCCAAGGTGGACTCTTCCACTTTTTCATTACAGCCAGGGCTTAAGATTTGAACTTGGACGGGCTTTGGGGGTCCACAGTTGCACTCTGGGAACAGAGAGTTGCAAAATATTGCTGACCATTGACACCCAAGAGTTTGGCCTACAGACTTGAAGCCAGTATGAAAAAGCTTCCCCTAAATGGATTTTCATCCTGTTTGCTGGCGTTTTTAGCTCAGAGGCTTGGCTTTCAAAAGAGAGTAAGAGGAGCTGTACTCTGCTTGGGGTCACAAAAGTTCTAGACAAAAGTATTTGTATGCAAATTTGGGGGCATTTGGTTATCCCATGCATATTTTCATTCATAGAAAAAATAAACTATACAAGGTAGGAAGCTAACATTTGGGGACTTCTTTGGCTAGGCAGATTTTGGCAATATTCTAGAAGAACTAGACACATAAGGTCTGCTTCTGTGTAAATTACATATCAGAATGTGAGCTGGGGAATGCCAGATTTCCCCAAATGCAGGATGAAAAAAAACTTTGCTAACAAGTAAAATCTATAAGCAATTTAAAACAGCAACAAAGTACACAATAAAAGCAAGATCCAATAAGGAATAGTATTGTCACCTCCCTGCCTAAAGAAGTGGTAGTAAGTGGGCCAGGAAACCGAACCTCATAATGAGGACTACCAGAGTAATTCACTCCTGGGCACACCAGCTGGAACTCAAATGAGAGACACCTAAGTGGAACTCAGGTGTTGGTTGGGGCCGGGCATGTGGGACTTCCTAGGAAGCTCTTCTGCAGCTGCACTGTGGGCAAGCTACAACTTCCAGATGCCACTCAAACATCTCGTTTCAATGTGACTTCCACCTCCGCAAAATTCAAGGGGAATTCAGTGCATTTGTCATTATGCATATTTCTTGCTCAGGTGTATCTGATATATACTGTAAGTAACAGCTTCCCAGAGACCTGATCTGGATTGTGATGCTAATGCATGGGTAGTGGGATTTTAATTCTTCTCTGTCACACTGTGATGTTGGGCAAGCCGCAGAACATGAAAGTGCACATTTACGATGGGTGATCAAACCGGTCGGTCCTAGAGGAGATCAACCCTGGCTGCTCTTTAGAAGGCCAGATTCTGAAGATGAAACTCAAATCCTTTGGCCACCTAATGAGAAGGAAGGACTCCCTGGAGAAGAGCCTGATGCTGGGAACAATTGAGGGCAAAAGAAGAAGGGGACGGCAGAGGGTGAGGTGGCTGGATAGAGTCATTGAAGCAGTGGGTGTGAGCTTGGGTGGACTCTGGGGGATGGTGGAGGACAGGAAGGCCTGGGGGAATGCTGTCCACGGGGTCGCGGTGGGTCGGACAGGACTTCGCGACTACAACAGCAACAACAATCATTCAGCTCTCAATGTGTCAGATTCAACTCCCGATGTTCAGCTCCAATGCTAATGTGACTTTTGCTCGGAAGATGAGGACGTCACACGGCCATTGCCGTATGTGAACACTTGAGAGGGTGGACTGGTGGGTGGAGTGTCCCCCTGTGGGAGTTGTTTCTATTAAAATTACCACCATGATCAATGGACTCCAAAAGGGTTTGGGGCTGTAGTAAGGATGGCCTACTTCAGTTTCTGGATGCAACATTGTGCCCCCCGCCCCTGGCTCTGCTATATGGTTCACTAATCTCTGCCCCCAGCAACACACAACAAGGTCTGCAAAGTCACATTTGCCTTGAGCCCCACTCTCAACTCCCCCTTGCCCCCAAATTCTCAGAATCTTACTTTTGCTATCGATGGTGGCTTTGACCAGTGGTTGTGCATTCGCTTCCTGCTTCATAGAGCATGTATATGCTTTCTGAGAGAAGTCTGAGCCTTGAACTGTGAGCTGGCTTGCACTAAGCCACGATTCTGGTTCTGCGTTCTGTTTTGTCAGTGGGTATTCCATTTTTGCCAGCCCTTCCGGTTCCCACATGATTTCTGCAGGCACTGCAGAAGTCTGGGCAAGCAAGCAGGCAAAAGTTACAGTTTCTGAGATGTCCTTCAAATTGGGTTCACAGCAGGACAGCAGAGGAAACATGATAGGGGAATGCTGGTTTGCTGTTGGAAAGAAAGTGAGAGGTTATGGAGTGCACAGGAGCACAAAAACAAGCCTTAAACCATACAAGGTTAGCACTAGCTTAGCCGTTGCATCTTAGAAGACTTTGTAGACTTTTAATGGAAATGTTCTCTTTTCTCCCTGACATGCTTACCTTGAGCCAAGGTGGACGACATGCCTTAATTGCTGCGATGTCCACTGCTGCTCTACCCACCCACCCACCCACCCACCCTTGCCTCCAAGCAAAAGGCACCTGCACTGCCAATGGGATGCTCAAAAGGGTGAATTTTAACTTGGAAAGGAAGTCATTTTAACCCTTATAGTTGTGAGAAGTAGAAAAATGCTGTGACTAACAGACTAGAACAGGTAAAGCTATGGATTTTAGTGATTAATAAAGGTATTGTGATTAACGGACTAGAACGGGTAAAGCTATACAGATCACTTAATGAGTAATAAAGTTATTGTGATTAACACAAACTAATAGACTACAAGATGTAATTGGTAGACATGGCATTACACTTTTGAACTTAGAACCCAAAGTACAGCTGCGTAATTAGCTAATGCATATTAATGGTGCCTCCTACTATGACTCAGAGGGTTATTAACATGAACATGGGACGTATGAACAGGTGGGGGTAACATACCAAGGAGTAGTATGATGAAGGCGGATGGGAAGAATGTGAATTCCCAGTATCCCACCAATGGGAGAAAGGAGGCGGGGACTTTGCGCGTGAAGCAGGGAATAAAAGGCTGTGTAAACCGCTCCCCAGTGCACCACCTTCGGGGTAAGTGCCCAGTCTGGCCAGAACATATTAAACTGTTGCTGCTTGGTACTTTGCCTCCCGTATCGTCATTGCTGGGATTCCATTCCTTACATAGTCCCATGAATTGGTTTACCCCTCTTTTCCTTTTCTTTAAAGAAAGATCTTGGGGATTGATGGCATGTGGACTTCCTAACATCCCATGTGGTGTGGACTTCGGGAGTTTTCCAAGGAGCACAAGTGTCCCTCAGACCTCCCACAGTTGCTGAGTGCTGACCTATAGGATGATATTCATATTGGCATCCTTATCCCATACTTCAGTTTCGTTGCGGTTGAGTGTCAAGCTTATCGCACTCACTTAAGTTGACAGACAATGTATTTCTCAGTCAGGATATGATGCCTCTGTCTACTTACTTTCTAAGCTCTGATATGGTCACTGCATTGACTTCTCTCTACTGTACATGGCTTGACTTACTTGATTTAGAGTTTCCAGTTACAATCAGCAGAGATTTCCATGGCCTGCAGCACACTAAATCCCAGTCTATCCACTCTGCTGCTCCCCTTCCCCTGATGTCCTGGTCTAGCAAGCCATTCCTTTGCTCTGCCTGAACTGAGGGCATGCCCTAGAACACACCGAATGGTTCCATTTTCCTACATGTTCCCAAGAAAGAGTGCAAATTCCCAAACATGTCCTCTATAATTGATCTTCTGACTGAGAAACCTTTGATAAGCTAAGGGAACCCTGTGGTTTTCCTGAGCCCTGTTTGAAAACCACTGGTTAGATTGCTCACAGCCAAGAATAATGTGCCTTAAGACTTGGGAACTATGCATACACATTTGTCCACACTTGTCACACAGTTATCTATATCCCTTTCGCAGAAGAAAAGACCAAATACCTCAACAGGATACCCCAGAACTTAGAACAACCTCTATAAATGGATGGAATTGCTCTTTGTCAGCTTTAGGCTCAAACATCATAAGCTTGCTGTCAGGAAATGCTCTAGAAGAACCAGGATAGGGGTAGTTGGAATCAGGATTTGAGGTAGATGGAAAAAGGGGTGGCACCAGGTCAGGATCAAATCTCCAAACATGACTTGTGTCCTGCCAAGGAGAGTAGCAGAAGGTTCATGCCTTGTGGTAGAGGTAGAAGTTCTAAATTCCCAGGACTTAAGGCACAACTTAAATACAGTTTTCCACAAATGAATCTTGAAATCATGACTTCCAATTGCCTATAGGGAACAAAACCCTGTTTGCAGTCACACTTTGTGCTGGGTGACTCGACTCAGTATGAATGTGCGTGTCTGTGAGAGTAGTTGGTACCTTCCTGGCTTCCTGAGTTGAGGTTCAAGGGATTCTCAGAATAGGGAATGTTTCTGAGTGCAAGGCATAAACACAACAGCTAACAGAGGACAATGAGTCAGAATAACACACTGTAGGAATCAGCTCCCCATGCACTCTAAGATTTTGGTTGGAGAGAAAGCCTTTGATCAATGTGAAGGTCAGCTACAGAAGGTCTTCTGCACAAACAGTAACCCCATTTTCATGGTGCCCTCCCAGTCTCATTTTCAAAATGGCACCTTCCAGGTATAGATACAAAGAGGTTACAATTCTATCCAAGACACCAGTATATTAAAGTCTTATTCCCTCTTCCAAACCATGTCCCTCCTCTGTTTCATAGTCCTTCACCAGAATCTTGCTACATGCTATGCTCTTCAACCCCAAGCAGTATTTTGTGCTGACAGAAGATTCTTCCCCACAACTTCCCAAACAATGAGCTAAATACTAATACCCATGCATCATTTAATTCCTTGATGCCTTGAAATTGATAAAACCTGTATTACTTTAACCAGTTAAGGATCACATAATGCATTGCATAGCTGGTTTTCTCCTGGTTGAAACATCAGTTTGGGATTCACTCATAACTGCAAGTACCAACTACAGCAAAAATTGACATGAAAGGCAATTTGTTAAAGAAGAATATATATTTATTGCAGTATTGTATAACATTCACAATAAAAAAGCAAACATTCTGGTCGGTACATATTGTGCAATGAACCTATGTTTATTGCTCTTGAAGTCAAAAGTGCAATATCCCCTTTATGGGTTTAGACCAATCATTCAACTAATCTTGAACTAAAACAGGATTACCACAGAGATACTGAAAAATACTCTCAGACATATATACAGAGAAAAGTGAAGCAAGATTGCACCTCGTCTCTAAAATGTAAACAGCTGGCTCAATTCTAGTTCAACTCAAATGGAACAGGATGACCAAAACACAAAGCAAGAGAACACATAACTCCTTCCAATATATCTTTTACAAAAAAGGATGGAAAGGTCAAGTCCTTGATTATGATGACGATGAAAGAATGAAAAAATACGGAGTCTTTTTGGCAAGTCCTTGTCTGTGATCTGAAAACACTTGGTGTTGCTATTTCACCTGGAATTGGAAAAGAAGAAGAATGAATGCTGTCACAGAGGAAGTGTATCATACAACCATTGCAAGATCTTTGCAGTTTTTCTCCTGTCCTGTGTCATGTGTACTCTGACAAGGTGATCAAAAACTGGACTAATGAAGATCATAGGAGATCATAGGAGAAGAGCAAGTGGGAGAAGTTGGTTGGAGTGGTTAGAAGAACTGTAGCAGAGGAGATGTAGCAGACAAACTGAAATGTCACCATACAATCAAAGAAGAGTAGAGTTGGAAAGGGCCAGGATGCCATTGGGTCCAACCCCGGTTGTTGCAGGACACCAAGTTACACCATCCCACCCAGATGACTGTCCAGACTCTTTTTGAAGGTCTCCAGCAAGGGAGATCCCGCCACATCCCCAGATATTAGGTTCCATTGTCAGACTGCTCTGACAGAGAGGAAATTCTTCCTGGTGTCTAGTCTAAATCTGGTTTCTCTTAACTTAAGCCCATTATTCTGTGTCCTGCACTCTGGAAAGGACAAGAAGAGATCTTGTCCTTCCTCTTTGTGAGAGCCTTTCAGGTACATGTAGACCACTATCATATCACCTCCCAGTCTTCACTTCTTGAGACACATGACCAGTTCTCACAATCTTTCCTGATAACACTTTGCCTCCAGTCCCCAAATCATCCTTGTTGACCTCCTCTGTACCCTTTCTAGCTTTTCTGCATCTTTTTCAAACAGAGGTACCCAGCACTACAGACAGTACCCCAGGTGAGGAGTACCTGGGGTATGGAGGAGGGACAGGGAGAGATACCAAGGTAAAAGAGAAGGAAAGAGGAAAGAGTGGAAGTAGAGGAAGAGTGAAAATGAGGGAGAGAGCACTGATAAAGAGCTAAATAATACACTTCATAAAATATTGCCTGTCCTTGGAGTTTGGCCTGGCTTGCTCTGTGCTGATCACTGGCAGTTTTGTTTCCTATCATGAGTTTGTTCATTTGCTTTCTACAAAGGAATGGCTATTAGTCCTCAGCTTGGAAAGCATGATCAAAAACGTTTCACTTCAGTTTCCTCCCTCGTGTCCCAATTATCTTACCTTGATAACAGTTACAGTGGCACTGTAGAAGAGGCTCACAAGGAAGAGGATGATGAAAGTGGAAAGGATTGATGAGAAATTTTGGAGTTCTTCGTCATCAACCGTGTCAATGATTGCATCTAGGTAAACTTTGGACAATACATGGAAGTCAGGTTCTGCCAGAGTACAGAAACAAGGTGAAGTCTCAATTTAACTGAATGACAAAGAGGGCAAGAGAAAGGTGGTGAATCTGAGAAGAGAATTGAAAAAAGGCAGCTGGGTAGGCCACATAATATTTTAGATAAGCAGCAATCAAGTTTGGATGCAAAGTGGTACATGAAGCTGCGGAAAGACAGGCGGAGAAGAGCTGATTTAGTGTAGCCTTGGAATGGTGGCTGATGGTAGTTTTTTGAACGCTGTCTCAGAGAAGGAACAAAAACATTCCATCTGCTGGAGACACCACAGAAGGACTGATAGATTACCATAATTATTTCCAAGTGAGTGCTGAAATATTGCTTGGCTGACTAACGGCTCAGAGACACCAGAATTATGTAATTATGGTTTGATGGAAGGGTGCAAATTAAAGGACTCTTTCTCTCTCTGAATTCACAAGAATGACAGTTACAGGAGATTACATGCTATGCTGAGTGACAAAATGGTAAAGCTGGTTTGATGTTATCATTTATGGTTTTGTTGGCAATATGGAAGCCAGTCTCTAATGTGCTGCTAACTCATGAACTTGGAGCCATGTTGATGGGGCCATTGATTCCTCCTATGTTCTCAGGTTGCTTGCTGAAGGAAGCCTAGCCACTCTCATTCAACATGATGCTCTTGTAAGCATTTGGAGTAACCAATGTGGTAATAATTTCTCTTCAGGTTCAGGTGGTTTTGTGAACTCCTTGAAATCGTGGCATATGCTCCTTTCAACCTTCAAACACAGGCTTTTATAATAGAGACTCTTCAGCGATATTCTTCCCCCTTCATCTTTTGGAAGCTCTTTTGCAGTTGAGGGCTAAGAAAATAGCTCACCCACGGGATGCCTTTGAGAGTTTGTTCTAGGATACACATTCAGGTTTCATTTGGAATGTTGCCTCAACTGACTTCAATAATGTGGGCAGTTATCTTCTGGTAATGTTGAGAGTTCAGCGTCATGTGTAGTATTTCTGGAAGTTCAAAGGTCTTGGCAACAAACCTGTGTCATATCATCGCAACTCTAGGTCCGAGTGGTTTGCACAAAAATATCAGTGAGATTTGTGGCTCAGTCTTTGAATTGTGGTGCTGGAGAAGACTCCTGAGAGTCTCTTGGACTGCAAACAAATCAAACCAGACAATCTGAAGGGAAATCAACCCTGACTGTTCTCTAGAAGGTCAGATACTGAAGGTGAAACTCAAATACTTTGGCCACCTAATAAGAAGGATGGACTCATTGGAGAAGACCCTGATGCTGGGAACGATTGATGACAAAAGGAGAAGGGGGTGGCAGAGGTTGAGGTGGCTGGATGGAGTCACTGGGATGGTGGGTGTGGGGCTGGGAGGACTCCAGGGGATGGTGGAGGAGATGAGAGCCTGGAAGAATGTTGTCCATGGGGTCGTGATGGGTTGGGCATGACTTTGTGACTAAACGGAACACATCCTGGTGTGAGGGGAGCCTGTGCATGTGTGAATGCCTGCCTGTACACGTGTCTGATCTTAGCAGTCGTTCATCGTATGGATTCCATTTGGATTATATTGCTGGTTGTAAGCACATGCGCTTTAAACTTTGGTTGCTCACAATCAGAGTGAATGCAAGGGTTAAGATGCCTGCAAACAAACTACTTCAGGTATGATAAAAAGAATGAGTCTATCTACAGACTATAGAAAAAGATGTGAAATATAATTGGTCTAAACATCAAGATCATGAGTAGAAGCCATGCTCCGAGTCTTTCCAATACAGGATTGAGTTCCAGGTGAAGCACAAATGATTGTGAAGTCATTGAGGTTTCCAGGGTCCCTGCAGGGTGGGGGCAAAGGTGGGATTCTGGCCATCTCTATTGCTTTGCTGTATGTTGCATAACTTGCCATTTTTTGGGGGAAATGCGGGGTGGGATGAATGGTCAATGACAACAGTTGCCCTTCGACAGCTATTAATTTTTCTTTTGGTAACCCAAAAGGAATGAAGCAGCTTTGTTCTTGTCAGTCACTCTTTTCCATCAGTTGTGAAAGAAGGAATATATGCAGCATAGGTGACCTCCAGAGGAGCCCTCCATCTCTGCCTCTGCTCTTCTTCCCACCAACTCTGGCTCCTGCTAGAATAAGGCAACTGCAGCTTTTGGTTGCTTGGCATTTCCTCTAAGTACAATGCAGTTACTACCCTATGGCTACAAATGTGATGAAGAAACATCTAGATGAGTGTCTGACAGAGATATTTATGGAACCAGGTATGCATTCGAAGGGAAGAGAACCAGAGTAGCATCTCTTTTGAGTCTTTTCTGTCATTTTGTGAGTAACCGATGGTCATCATAGAGGTGGGGAAAGATTTGATCTGGCCAATGAGCCTAAAGGCCAGAGGGGTGTGTCTGTGTGTGAATGGCTTCAATGAGCATGTGGTTGCAGTCATGGACAAGGTAACTCTTCATATTACTGGAGCTCTAGATTCTTCCATCATCAGGAGCTTTGCTGATGGAGAAAGTGTACTCTGTACTTTATAAAATGCTGTATTTCTTAAGTTATGGTTTAACTGAAAATCTCTGTGACTGGCTATGTAGCTGATTGTTTGCAAGGAAATATCATGTGCCATCCATTGACGCATGGAAGACTGCTCTGACGGCTTCGAGAGCATTGTATTTGTCTAGTTTGTCACTGGGGTTTGTAATGAACCCAAGTGGAAGAGCTCGCTTGCTTTCATCCATTTAAATCTTGATATTTCGTGTATACACATTCCATCTTCACTTCAACTTGTAAGGAAAAAATCAAGACAAGATGGATCAGTGTGCCCTAAGATTAGACCAGTGTGTTAACTTGTTGAAGATAATGGCCGGTCTGAAATACATATTTATGTGTGCTTCTGTGTGTTGATATTCAAAGAACATAGCTCTCAGTATCTTGTGCATCAATTTATGAGTGTCTTTCAGATTCTCAGAGGAATCTTGCTTAGCAACTTCCTTGCCATGTGAAAACAACATATTGTGGATTGATTGAGAACGGCCAGTGTGTGAGGCCAATCATTTATTGACTGACATGGCGTGCAGAGGGGCCCTGCTTGTACAGAATAGCTTCCTTTGCTTGGTTGAGGGTAGCCTTTGAATGAGAAGTGATATTGGAGTCAGAAAATCCACGAGAGCACATGTAAGAGAATGGAATAACTTGCTTTCTAAAACAGCTCTTCTCCATCCCAGATGTCAGGACAGAAGGACTTAGAACAAGGACTAGTGTGATGAGTATGTAGAAGGATTTGAAGTGGGAGAGAAAGTGTTGAAAGAAAAAGCTGTGGAAGAAAAATTCAGGAAAAGAAAGATAGGAAAAAGAAAGTGGCATACGGAGGCAATAAAAAATACTTATTTGCAGTGCAAACTGCTGCACTCTAACCTTGGGCATCCTGTGCTTTTAGCAGCCTTTTAAAATCCCAGATGACAGATAACAGTAGTTGTGCTTTGAATTATTCAAGATGCCTCATTTCCCATAGTATTCAAAAGAGGTTTGGGTGCCTCATTTGAAGCTTGTACCCTTGGAAATTAATATTGAGTTCCATATCAACATTTCTCACAGCAAGCCAGAAGCTTTCTTTGTTTTGAAAAAAAATACTTTATTGCAAACTATTGGTTTTCTTCCAGTAGATGTGGCCAGTTAATGTTTTAACATTGGAGACACATCTTTCTTGGATGACCACCATTACCCCGACAAACTTTCCACTGCAGATTCTACAATAGAGTAGGAAACAAAACCAAGGAAACAGATGTTTGTGGAAGGAGGGAGGTGGTGCAGCACAGGAGATGTTATGATAGTGGTTAGTAGCAAACGTTGTCGGTTTCAGAAAGTACTAAAGATACGTTGACAATGGATGGTTTACCCGTGTTCTTGTCTATCGTCTTCTGGGTTACGTTGACCGGCAGTGCCTCATGCCCCACTGCGCAGGTCCATATGTCTCCATTACTCCAGTTGTTCTGAGAGATGTCCAACTTACTGTAGATAAAGTACTTCTCAGGCATTTTGGATTCCAGAATGGGATCGCTGGTGTAGTATTCTTCAGGCTTCAACAGCTGACCATTCTGCATCCATTGCACAAAGATATCATCGGGGTAAAACCCTTTTACAAAGCAAGTGAGGGTGACCTTTTCCTTCAAAGCTACTTGCTCTGGTGGAGGGGGAAGGAGGTAGACGGATGGGGCAGATGGGGTACCACCTGGATGGTGAAAAAAAGAAAGAGAAATCAGAGAAATCAAATGTACATTCTTTATAATCTTCTCACAAATGTTTGTCGGTCTGTCTAGAGACCTCGCTTGAATTTTGAACTTCCAGTTTGGTAGGTAGCATGTTTGGAAAGGTGTTGAAGGACATATGGCAACCCTGGTTGGTGAACTGGACAAGGAGAAGTGGGAACGAGTCTTAGTTTCAATGCAACGTCCCTCTGCAAAACAGAGTGGGCCTAATTTTCTTGGTCACCATGATAATCTATTGTTCCCAATAGGACCAAAAGCACTGAAAGATTTCCACTGCTGATAATATTGCCCCACTTGTGGATACTTGAAGGCTGATGGATATCCATTGAATGATGCAAGCATAGAACTTGCTCCTCTCTTCTACAAATGGAAGTGCCTATCTTCCCTCTGGGTGTGTGCCTCAATGGGAGAGGCTTGCTTAAAGGGTTCTTCTCATTTAGCACTGCAATGGATATAACCAATTGTTCAATCATTGCTAAGAGGGACTGCCGGGATCTCATTTGCTACTAGTTCAGCCCTGGGTAGCATGACCTATCTTGACAAATGCAGCCTAGCAGCCACTCACGATGACTTTTTGTTCTTCGGTCAAGACTCTGTGACCATTTTTCATCTTGGTGGGCCAGAGGTTGTGTGCAGGTTTATTTAATTTCTGTCTTGCAGCAGAGGGTGTGGATTGAAAGGGATGTGTCTGTGGACCAGTATGAGCCCACAAAGAAATGCTGGAAGACGGCTGTTCAATGCTGACAAGCACTGAGTTGGATGTTACGTAGGAAGCTGATCTTCAGTTCCCCTGAAGCTCACTAACTGGCTTAAATCAGGGCACAGATTCTCACTTTGGACTGCTCAAAGAATCCTAAAAAATTAAACTCCAAAGCAGCTATTTTAAATAGGAATGAAAAACAGTGACTCATACTCTGCTTGTCATCTTCTCACTGGCATCTACTGGGATTCTTTGGCCTAAACCACTGGTCCAGCATAGCCTTTCTTATCTCCCTTAGTATTTATTGGGATATCATAAGAGGAGCCTATATGTTCTAACACATGTAGAAGTATAGTCATACGGGCAGATGCTGAACAAACATTAAAAAAAATGCGTCCTCTCTCAACTCTACCAATTCCCTTGATTCTAGGAGTGTAAAGTATTTTAAGGGCAGTTTTAAAAGATTTTAAAGGTATGCACAGGTACTTACCAATATGTTTCCTCAGTTCTCTTTCTATAGGCTTGGGAAATACACCTGGAAAATCAGCTTTGCAGTAGAAGATTTCACCGCTGTTCCAGTCAGTCACACACACTTCGGCGGTAGCTGTGACGTACTGCATGTCATTTTCGTTATCTATGCCGGGTTGCATTTTAGTGACCAGTGGTTTCTTCTCAGGTCCTTGTGTCCAGGTGATATCCAGGAGGGAAATGTCCGCGCTGTAGGGTATGCCGTAGACCTTGCAAGTCAGCTGGGCTTTGCTGCTTTGGAACATCTCGGCATATGATGGTCGGATGGTTTCTACACGGACATCATCTGTGTGATCCGGACAATCTGAGGAGGGACAAGAAAGAAATGAAAATGGTGTTTTGTCCCACATTAAATCCATTCCACAATAAATGGCATTTTCAAACATTAAACAGAACCTAACACCTGGTATAATACCTAACATACCTTCTATCGATTTCAGACATCCAACGTCTCCTTCCCCTTAGCCCCTAAATACTTGCTCAATGCAGTGTATAGCCTGGCTTAACACTCTTCTACCATCTCTCATCACCAAATTCAGGGGAAAAAGCTTGTATAAAGGGCTCTTGGAAGTGTCTGCACAAATGGCCAAGTCCTATCTTTTACAAACCCTCCAAAACCCAGGCCTGAAACTCTTAAAAGGCAGTGTATGAATTTTCTGTTCAGGATTGCTTTTGATAGCTATGTTAAGTTCTCAGAATGTGTCATTTATAGCCCTCTGTGTTTATTTGAAACACATTTTCACATACGAAATCAGCACAAGTTTAATCTTTTCACATCTTACGTTTCGGGGATTACTTAAAAATGTACTGATGGATTAATTTAATGAAGCATTCCATGATGAGATTTGTAACACCAAATTTTTAGCACTAAATCTGAGTTGGAAGAATGCCTTTCCCTCCCTGAGATTCAGTTTGTCACTAAAAATAATGTTTTGGATCACCATCCTAACAGTAGAAGAATTTGTCACATCAGTATCAGATGTGGCAAAAGATGTGGATGAACCGAGATTCTGCAGTATGCATTCTGCATTATTCTGCATTATTTCACTCACTAGTGCGCTCTCTCTCTCTCTCTCTCTACATATATATATATGTGTGTGTGTGTGTGTGTGTGTGTGTGTGTGTGTGCACGCACGCGCAGACATTGCATTGAGTAGTGTGGTAGGGGCTGGAGAATGAATTCTTGATCCTCTACAAGAAGCAGGGAATTTTTCATCCCTCAGTCATAGAGGTGAAAGAACCTCTGCACACAAAAAGATTCTCTCTAGAAATTTCAAGGTTCTCTGATGTCCTGAACAAAGAATTCAGCTTACCACAAAAACTCTGCTTGTTGATCTCCAGTGTGTTGTTGAACGATTCACTTTGCACATGGCATGAGAATCTTTTGTCGGCCATCCACTCACTCTTAAGGACTACGAGTTCACTTATGGTTCTGCACTCGTTGTTGTTGCCGTCTGGGATGGGTTTGGTGGTGGTGAAGTCAGAATCCACAACTACTTCTTCCCTCAGCCACTGGAGTGTGGTTTTTTGCTTACAAGGATGGACAGCGGTGCAGCTGATGGTGGAATTCAGATATTGGCTCGAAAATGCTTTAAGGGGTGGTGCACGGACGATCATTTGAGGTTCGATAGGGATTAGTATTGCTGGATGAGCAAGAAAAATGCAAGAGGAAGAGAATTATGGCAGACAACTGAAACACCTGGAAGGCAAAATGCAAATTTTGGAACAGGAGGAATGCTTATGTGGACAGTTCTGAGGATTCAGATCCATTTAGGAATCCACTTTCAGGCCGTGAGTGTGGTTCATTCTGGCTAGACGTTCTTGCATCCATTTTCATGGACAGGATGCAGCAGTGCGTCATTTGAGCTGAGCCTGAGCAGGGCTCAGAGCCCAAGGATGTGGCTCAGTGAGCTCACCTCCTCTGTCACAGGCTCAGCAAGCACATCTAGTTCCCCCATATCCATGATTACAGGATGGGATCCTTGGACAGACAATACAACTACCCAAAATCTCGATCTCCTCTCTCTAGCTCTTCTAGAAATGAAAACTCATCCTGGGCAGGATTGAGCTAGACTTTACCTACTAACTGTTCATTCTGTTTTGAAGATAAAATAATGTGTAAAGCTTTAGAAACTAGCCAGTCATTGCATGGAACAAAAAATACCAACCTTCCCTGATCTAGTGTGTCTCCAGATGTTTTGGACCACATTCCTGACCTCGCTGACTGAGGTTGCTGGGAGTTGAAGCCCCAAACATCTGGAGGGCACCAGGTTGGTGAAGGCAGCTACAAACATGCATGCCACAATGAATCATTTCATTTCCACGGCTGCTGTACTTCTTTCTGCCTATTGGTTTCTAAATTTCTGAAAGTGGTCTGTGTGAGAGAAGTGGCTGGTAGAAACAAGAGAAATAAATTCACTTACTCGATCGAACAACTTTTTTCACTTTGTTCCCAGATGAGTGTTCAGCGTTGCAGTAGAATGGGTGCATATTGTTCCAATCCGTGGCGGGGACAGAGGCCTGAGTGCTTGTGGTATATGTTCCAGTAGGGTTGAAAATGGGAGGAAAAGTCATGGAATTGGCTGCACCGATGCTGGTATTGGTCCTATCATTCCAGACGAAAGTGATGGTTTGAGGCAGGTAATCTTTGGCCAAGCATCCGATATTGACAGTTTCGCTGTTTGAAGTGTCCTCAGATGGAATGAGGGGGAATAAAGTAGGGGCAGCTGGGGAAGCTGAGGGAGAAGAAAAACAAAACGGCGGACGGTTTGTGGAAGGGTTTCAGGAAGGAATGAAGTGTTCAGCAGGGAGTGACCGTTTGAAAGGAAGTGGATCATTGCTTTGTTGGAAAAGAAAGACATGATGATCAAAACTGAAATATATATATATTTTCCTGGGTTAAGTTAGCTGGACATGATCACTGATTGCACATTTGTCTGTCATGTTAGTTTTCAGCATGTGTTCTATCGGATACCCAATTCATAGGAATGAATCACTCCTTTCATATATAGGTGTAATTTTGTCCTTGGTTTTTACATTCATGTGTGTAGGAGCCCATTCCTTCAGTTCCCGTTCTCATTCATCTGGCAAAATTAATCTGCAGATAAGTAGTGCAATGGGGTTGAAAATCTGAGTGAAGACCTGGGGGATTTTCCAGTTGGAACCTCAGCAGTCCATGCACGACCTAAAAGGACACATGCCTGTTCATTCTTGAACCCAGATATGTAATATGCGTATAGGAAGACAGTCTTACAGCACTGTTGTGTGAATTGCTTCGATCATGCACATTGAGTATGTCAAACCATTAGAGAAGTTTAAAACATTACAGAAGACTACTGAAAAATCTCAAGGAGGGTAATTCAAGGAGACCTGGTACCTCTTGTTTTCCTTTCATTGCCATTTAGGAGTGGACTGCCACAATTCTGGGGACCCACTGAGCAAGTAAATTCGGACAATTCCATGTTATTTTTTAAAGAAACGAGTCATCGGGGAACAGAACAGATGGAAGAGTAGAAGCACTGTGGAGTTTAAAGCACATGTGTTTTGTTGTGTTTGCTTTATTCCAATACCTTTGGAAAGACTGTTGCTTCTCTGAAATACCAATTAATTTGCCATGGGCCATTTGAAATGTGGTAATGGAGCAAAGGCTTTGATGAGATGCTGATGGAAATGTGAAGCAAGCAGGCACATTTTGTGATGCAACTATTTCTCACAAACCAACTATTCAACCCCTCAGTATTGCAGCAACAACATCTCTCTGCCTAAGTCCTTTAACGAACCCGAAGTCTCTTTAAAAAAAATATCCACCCACTTACAGAAAAATAATCAGAGACTGTTGCAAGTCTAGCACCTTTCATCAAGTTACCTTAATCAGAGCATGGAAATGCTCACAATTTAGCAAGAGAAAGAATCCTCCCTCTAACTTTGAACAGTACCAAAAGACATCTGCATGGTGTTGCCAGTTAATATCCCTCACACCATTGAAAAAAGCTAGAAAACAATTCCCCTGCACAGCTTGAGGTTTTCAAAGAGGCTTTGGTGGGCCAGGGAAATGCTGCATGCTAATCTTGCCTCCTACCATTTTAGAATCTCTGTCTTTGGAACTGCCCAGCAAACCCAGTCCTTGTGGGGCTGTATTTTGTTTCTAATTTTTTTAAAGATGCACTGTACTTCTGCACCCTTTTAAGTTCCCTCACGGATGGGATCCCTCCATCTTGTTTCCCAATGGCCCCATCTTGTCCCCAGTACAGCCGAAGCTCACCAGCTGAATTTACTATTAGATCAAGAACAGGATTTCTGACTAGCTTGGGAATTAGAAACGTGTCTGGAGAAACTGCTCACATTTGTATGCAGGGGAATTTGGACCCTCATCTCTCATGTAATGCCATTTATTAGTGAACACAAGGCTCTCTCTTCCTACATGAAGTACGCTTTAAAAAAAAAAGCCATCGGGAATATTCCTAAATTGAATTTGATCTATGGGACACAGATCTCTGATCTCCTGTCACTTGCTATGGACTCTTCTAGACCAGAAGAGTACCCATATGGACCAAATTCTACCTCTACCTCCACTGACCCGAGCCAGGAAGGGTCAAACACGTTCCCAGTTATGGTCCTCAGATGTGACCCAAAATGACAAAGAGCATTTCTATGCCTTTCACAGCCACTTGATGTCAGGAAACTTGTGGGGTTGTCTATACATCAAGCTACTATTAAAGCTACAGCTACCATGGTCATTTGGAAAGCTGGCAACCCGGTCTGCTTTAGATATTGCCTCTGTTGTAGGTGGAACCAGAGGAGCACCCAAGGTAAGGAAAGAAGCCTCCAACCTGCACCACCACTGGACATCCCCTAAGATAAGAAAATGGGGCTGCTTTCTCTACAGATACCCAAGGGATGAGTGACTGTGGGACACCCATCCTTTTCTGAAGCCAAGATGTAGCTGACCTCCTGTCCTCTCACTTGGGTGCTGTGCTTCATAGTGTCCTTACAAGTATCTAGGAGCTTGTGGAGAGCTTTCCCTATTATTTTCAGAGCCTTCCATCGGTGGGGAGCCGCCAGGCTCTTCCCCAGATATGCACTGGACTTTGGTCTCTAGTTATTCCCTTCCCTTTCTCCTGGCTGTATCTGCTAAAGATCTAAGATGGCCCTGGAAGAATTAAGACATGTGCATGCCTCCGAGCTCAGTCTGGAGTGTCTAACAATCGGGGGGTTCCAGAAGCTTCCCCCATCTTTCCTTAAACCAGCTCTTCTCCAGCTAAACACCAGACTCAAAGAGAAATTCTGCTCACCAACCACACCTTCTTCAGCTCTTAGAGGCGAAGTCTCCTAGCTGAGCGGAGGGCTTCCAAGAAGCCAGGGTGCTATGGGTGCTTTCCCCTTTCCTCCATTCTTCCCTAGCTGAGCACCAGGCTTCGACAAGACCTGAATGTTACCCTAATTCAATTCCGGCTGCTATGGATCTGAATGACATAAGTCTCTCAGCTTGGCATTGCTTTTCCAACAACGGCGGCATATCAGGAGCTTGTTTGCAAAGCTGCAACTGAGTAGGAACCCTCACGGCTGCTCCCACTTGAGCATTCAGCTTCAGAAACAGTCTTTTTTCCTCTACTATCCAAAGATCACTGGTTCCCCAGTAATATTTTGCATTATTTCCAAACTCATCTGTGGTGTGAAGGGAGCACGCAACCTTTCCCCAGTGAAGTCCTGGGCTTTGGAGAGGCTTTGTTTGTAAAACATTTGGTCTTCCTCCTCCCCAGCCCACCCCACCCCACCCCACCATTCCCCTGCAAGCCCAAGCCTAGCAGAGTGCCACCCGGCTCTTCCCTGGCTGAACACTGGCCTTGGATCACTCTCCCTGCCCGACCTACAGATGCAATAGGTCTACTAAAACGATTTTGGAGGCTGGCTTGTGGCTTCCTAGATTAGCTGGCCAGTGTCAGGAACTGTCTCGGTAGTCCAAAAGATACAACTCAGTAGTGAACAAAGCAGGTTTCCTTCAGCTGTTCACTGAGTTTCAGCAAGATGGTGGGTGCTCCTCCAGATCAGGGAGAACCATGGAAGATTGGAGGAGTCTGCACGCACCCCAGATCAGTATTGGGATCCCGACAATTTAGAAGCAGTCAAATGTTTCCCATTTTCTTCTCAAAACCATAGCTAGCTCAACTCTGGTCTTCCCCAGCAAAGCACTGTCCCCTAGCTGGACCTCCGACATCCCAATGGCAGCTGCTCTAGGTCTGCAAAAATGACTTTGATCCTAGCAGCACAGAGGGCTGTAGAGAAGCTAGGGGGCTGCCGAATGCACTCCTTGTCCTTCTCAAGCTGCATCTGAGCAGGGAACCCTCTCGCTCTTTCCCAGCTGAGCTGTGGGCTTTAGGGAGCTCCAGTTGCTCACCCTTACTCCAGCTGTAGCCGGTGTTCCATTGAACTGCTCCCAAAGACATGAGAATCTTCCATGCATCCCAGCTCAGTTTTGGCATTGAACAACCAAGCGGGCTGCCAGAAGCTACCCCCATCCTTCCCCAAGCCGGGGTGGAGTGGAGAAGCCATGCCAGCTCTTCATCAGCTAAGCACTAGCCTTGAAGCGGGCACTGCCGGCATCTCCACACCAACCATACCCTTTTAGCAGATCCCCTAGCTGAGCAATGGGTCTCTGAGCAGCTGGCACTTTCCCCATCGTTCTCAGAGGTGCACTGGAACTGGGAATCCGTTGGCACTTCCCTAGCAGAGCATGGGGGTTCAGCAAGCTACTCTCTGCTTCCCTAACTAAGGTGTAGCTGCTATACATCCGAATGACCTGTCTGCACCCTGAGCTTTTCAGCAAACAAAAGATTATCAGCAGCTCCCCTCCTGCCTCCTGTGCTAGGAGCCAAAGCTTCTCCACGGCTGAGTGTACAGCTTCAGGGCAAGTTGTGTTCCCTCTGCCCTTGCTGCCACCGCTCTAGAAAGGCTTACAGGTCCCCCACCTGAGACATCTGAAAAGCTACGGGCTTGCCAGACACTTTCTGCCTTGTTCCCAAATCCCTGTGTGGTGAGAGAGAACTACGGAGTTCCTTCTCAGCAAAGCCCTGGCTTTGCCCCTTCACCCCAGCTATAGCTGCAGCGAAAGCAAGAGTTTTGCAGGGCTCCCAGCAAAATGGTGGCCTTCACAGAAGCTCGGGGATTGCAAGGTGCTCCTCTCTGGCACTCCAGTGGTCACAACTAAGCAGGGAGTCACCCAGCTCGTCCCTGGGCTTCTCTCAGGTCTGCTCTGGTCAATTTCCCTGCTCTAGTTGCTTACCTGTTTCCCAGCAGAGCAGTGAGTTCAGGAAAGTTTGGGGGCAGCTACATGCTTCCCCAATCCTTCCAATGCTGCGGCCAAGCAGGGAGCTGGCTAGTTCTTCCCAACCTGAGTGGTAGGTTCAGAGAAGCTGGGGGCAGCCAAATGCTTTCCTCACTGTTCTGAAAGCTACTGCCAAGCCGGGAGCCACCCAGCTCTTCCTCAGCAGGGTGGCGGGTTTCAGGGAAGCCAGGGGGCTGCCGCATGCTTCCCCGATCCTTCCCCAAGTTGTAGCAAAGCAGGGTGCTGCCTAGCAGTTCCCTAGCAGCTCAGTGGGTGCAGAGAAGCTGGGGGGCTGCCGAGTGCTACCCCCAGTATTCTGAAAGCTGCTGGCAAGCAGGGAGCTGACCGGCTCTTCTCAACCTGAGCAGTAGGTTCTGAGAAGCTGGGGGCAGCCGCTTGCTTTCCCCACTATTCAGAAAGCTCGGGCTGAGCCGGGAGTTGCCTAGCTGCTCCCCTGCTGAGCTGTGGGTTTCAGACGAGCTGGGGAATGCTGGAGGCTCACCCCACTTTTCTGAAAGCTACAGCCAAGCTGGGAGCCACCCAACTCTTCCTCAGCAGGGTGGCGGGTTTCAGGGAAGCCACGGGGCTGCCCCATGCTTCCCTGATCCTTCCCAAACCTGCGGCCAAGCAAGGAGCTGGCTAGCTTTTCCCAAGCTGAGCAGTGGGTTCAGAGAAGCTGAGGGCTCCCGAATTCTTCCCCCAATGTCCTGAAAGTTACGGCTGAGCTGGGAGTCACCCAGCTCTTCCTCAGCAGGGTGGTGGGTTTCAGGGAAGCCAGGGGGCTGCCGCATGCTTCCCCGATCCTTCCCCAAGTTGTAGCAAAGCAGGGTGCTGCCTAGCAGTTCCCTAGCGGCTCAGTGGGTGCAGAGAAGCTGGGGGGCTGCCGAGTGCTACCCCCAGTATTCTGAAAGCTGCTGGCAAGCAGGGAGCTGACCGGCTCTTCCCAACCTGAGCAGTAGGTTCTGAGAAGCTGGGGGCAGCCGCTTGCTTTCCCCACTATTCAGAAAGCTCGGGCTGAGCCGGGAGTTGCCTAGCTGCTCCCCTGCTGAGCTGTGGGTTTCAGACGAGCTGGGAAATGCTGGAGGCTCACCCCACTTTTCTGAAAGCTACAGCCAAGCTGGGAGCCACCCAACTCTTCCTCAGCAGGGTGGCGGGTTTCAGGGAAGCCACGGGGCTGCCCCATGCTTCCCTGATCCTTCCCAAACCTGCGGCCAAGCAAGGAGCTGGCTAGCTTTTCCCAAGCTGAGCAGTGGGTTCAGAGAAGCTGAGGGCTCCCGAATTCTTCCCCCAATGTCCTGAAAGTTACGGCTGAGCTGGGAGTCACCCAGCTCTTCCTCAGCAGGGTGGTGGGTTTCAGGGAAGCCAGGGGGCTGCCGCATGCTTCCCCGATCCTTCCCCAAGTTGTAGCAAAGCAGGGTGCTGCCTAGCAGTTCCCTAGCGGCTCAGTGGGTGCAGAGAAGCTGGGGGGCTGCCGAGTGCTACCTCCAGTATTCTGAAAGCTGCGGGCAAGCAGGGAGCTGACCAGCTCTTCCCAACCTGAGCGGTAGGTTCAGAGAAGCTGGGGGCAGCCAAATGCTTCCCCCACGGTTCTGAAAGCTACGACCAAGCCGGGAGCCACCTAGCTCTTCCTCAGCAGGGTGGTGGGTTTCAGGGAAGCCAGGGGGCTGCCGCATGCTTCCCCGATCCTTCCCAAAGCTGTCGCAAAGCAGGGTGCTGCCTAGCAGTTCCCTAGCAGCTCAGTGGGTGCAGAGAAGCTGGGGGGCTGCCGAGTGCTACCCCCAGTATTCTGAAAGCTGCGGGCAAGCAGGGAGCTGACCGGCTCTTCCCAACCTGAGCAGTAGGTTCTGAGAAGCTGGGGGCAGCCGCCTGCTTTCCCCACTATTCAGAAAGCTCGGGCTGAGCTGGGAGTTGCCTAGCTGCTCCCCTGCTGAGCTGTGGGTTTCAGACGAGCTGGGGAATGCTGGATGCTCACCCCACTTTTCTGAAAGCTACAGCCAAGCTGGGAGCCACCCAGCTCTTCCTCAGCAGGGTGGCGGGTTTCAGGGAAGCCTGGGGGCTGCCGCATGCTTCCCCGATCCTTCCCCAAGTTGTAGCAAAGCAGGGTCCTGCCTAGCAGTTCCCTAGCGGCTCAGTGGGTGCAGAGAAGCTGGGGGGCTGCCGAGTGCTACCTCCAGTATTCTGAAAGCTGCGGGCAAGCAGGGAGCTGACCAGCTCTTCCCAACCTGAGCGGTAGGCTCAGAGAAGCTGGGGGCAGCCAAATGCTTCCCCCACGGTTCTGAAAGCTACGACCAAGCCGGGAGCCACCTAGCTCTTCCTCAGCAGGGTGGTGGGTTTCAGGGAAGCTGGGGGCAGCCGGATGCTTCCCCGATCCTTCCCCAAGTTGTAGCAAAGCAGAGTGCTGCCTAGCAGTTCCCTAGCAGCTCAGTGGGTGCAGAGAAGCTGGGGGGCTGCCGAGTGCTACCCCCAGTATTCTGAAAGCTGCGGGCAAGCAGGGAGCTGACCGGCTCTTCCCAACCTGAGCAGTAGGTTCTGAGAAGCTGGGGGCAGCCGCTTGCTTTCCCCACTATTCAGAAAGCTCAGGCTGAGCCGGAAGTTGCCTAGCTGCTCCCCTGCTGAGCTGTGGGTTTCAGACGAGCTGGGGAATGCTGGATGCTTACCCCACTTTTCTGAAAGCAAGGAGCTGGCTAGTTCTTCCCAACCTGAGTGGTAGGTTCAGAGAAGCTGGGGGCAGCCGAATGCTTTCCCCACTGTTCTGAAAGCTACGACCAAGCCGGGAGCCACCCAGCTCTTCCTCAGCAGGGTGACGGGCTTCAGAGAAGCAAGGGGGCTGCTGCATGATTCCCCAATCCTTTCCAAAGCTGTAGCAAAGCAGGGTGCTGCCTAGCAGTCCCCTACCTGCTCAGTGGTTTCAGAGCAGCTAGGAGGGTCTGCAGAATATTTCCCCCACTGTTCTGAAAGCTGTGGGCAAGCAGGGGGCTGCCCAGCTCTTCCCAAGCTGACCGGTAGCTTCAGAGAACCTGGGGGTTGAGATGGGAGTTACCTAGCTGTTCATTCACAGGGCGGCAGGTTTCAGGGAAGCTGTGGCGCAGCCGCAAGCTTCCCCGATCCTTCCCAAACCTGCAGTGAAGCAGCCTGCTGACTAACTCTTCCTAAGCGGAGTGGTGGGTTTCGCAGAAGCTAGGGGGTCTGCTAGCCATTCCACAGCTGAGCAGTTGGTTCAGAGAGAGGCTGCCTTAATCATCTCCCCTTGTTCTCAAAGCCAGAACTCAGCAGCCAGCTCATAAGATTCTCCTTAGCTGAGCCCTTGTTTTCAGAAAGACAGAGCTGAATGGACCTGAAGGTTCTGATACCTTCCCTGTGAACCTGTTTGCTTCTGAGGTCAGGCACGGCTAGATGCTTTCCCCATCTATTTTAGAGCTACGATTGAGGGGGATGCCATTCAGCTCTTCCCAGCCCACCAATGAGCTTTGGGGATATTCTAGTAGCAATCTCTGCTCTGAGTATTGATGCTTTAGATCGAGATGTAAACCTGCTGGGGAGCTGGAAGAATCTCACATGACTTCTAGCTGAGCCTCAAGGAAACTGCCTCTCCATTTCCTAAACTAGGTAAGCAGTGAAGCTACCTTGGAGATTCTGGGTAGGTCTACGTGGCCACACAAGCTCTCCAGAGTAACTGCTATTCATTTGGGAAAGTGGTTGCTTATTTCCATGGTGGAGGTTGGGGGGGCGGGGGGGAGACTGCTCAAGAAGCCGAGGGAATCCCAGTTGGTTGGGAGGGGTTGGTGATAAAGTCTACTGACATTACAACTGCAAGATCTGATCAATCTAACATCTCCATTCCAAATAACTATCAGTAAGTATTGGCACAACACTAATTCAGTATGAAAATTAAGTCCCTGCACGATTAACTGACCATCAAATAAATTAATCAGCAAGCGGTAATCAAACATAACGATTTCATACTATAAGCATAGTTGATGTAAATTAAAATAATTAAAAATAATTCCCTTTTCCAATCAAAATTCAAAGAGAGTCTGCTACTAATCATTCAACCAACCAACCAACCTATCAATCCATCAATTATATTAAATGGTAAAAAAAGTTTCAATTGAAGGAAATAATCTGCCTCACAAAGACAAAATGAATTAAAATTCCAACCAAGGATAAAACAAACCAAATTAGAATGAAAAAGAAAGCATGCCATTTCCTCCTTCAACTGAGAGAACTTAAAAATGGGTGCCCTGGATACTTAAGAATATTTTAAAACTCAGCAATAAATTAAAGATTGGCTCCACAAATCCACTTTCACCTAAAATCTATGTCTTCTCAATTCATAAAAACAAGCAACTATAAAAGATTATTAAAATGCTTCTATATAAATACAGGCAAATTATTAATAAATACTCAGTTTACTCAAATGCTATAATCATTGCATAGTCTAATCTGCATTAAAAATGTTGAAAGAGATGATGAAAAAGAAACATCAGCCTCTTTTTTCCTTACCATGTCAACGTATGATTTCTGCATGAAAATTTGCACAAACCTCTAGAGCTTCAGAAACAATTGTCTAGGGAACAGATACTTTTTTCTTTTTGCCAAATGGTGAAAAAAATCTGAGTCATTTTGGGGAAAAAAACAGAAATCTTACAAAGACAGGTGTTATGTTGTTGTTTTCGAAACATATAGGACTATTTTCAGTCATGCAAAACCATTCTGCCCGATGCTAAAAAAACCACCAAACGAAACTTCAGGTCTTAAAATAAATGAAAACTGAGAAACGAATCTTAGCCACCTGCTGTCTTAATTCCCCCCAGAGCATTCCTATTTTCAGATCAGTCATTTTTGTTCCCCAAAAAGAAAAAATAGTTAATCTTTTAAGTAATTTTTTATCCATAGCTATAGTAAATTTATATTTTGATGCATATTAATTAGCAATGTTAACCTGATGTTAATTTTACTATATTTGAGGTGATTCGTTCAGGCTATTCACCCCTCCCCACAACTTCATAATTTGGCAAGAAATGTTAAGAGTCTAAGTCAGAAAGAATAAATGGATAGATCAACAAAAAAGAATTCTTTGATACGTTAATGGTTACTAAGCTTATTGTGATGTGAAATGTAGGAAAGAGCCTCTTTTACCCAGTGTACATTAAAATCTTGTTCACCAGATGAAGTAGGATATTTCCTATGAAAGTTCTTTCCACAAAACTTAGTCTGTTCTAGGAGCCCAATTTAGATCTAGATTTATCATTACTTAGAACAGACTCATTTATTTCAGTGAGACTATATGGCTGACATTACAGTATTTTAAGACTGATTTGTTAGATAGAATTAAAGGAACGGATTAAAGAACAAATTATTAAGAAAGAATGACTCTGGAGAGAGACTTGGAGACAAACAAAGAGAGGAAAGAACTGAAGAAGAACCGATTATTTTTCAAAGCGCTATTTGATTCCTGCATTCAAGCTTTGGTACACTAACAAAGAGACTAAGAACACACTCAAGGGACAAAGAACCTTCTGTCAGTAAATCTGTAACGTATTTCATCCTGCAGTTCGTACAGATTCTGAAAATGCTTTAGAGATCAGAAAAACTGAGATGGTGAAAGAATGAAGTTCTGTATAGAACTTCCTCTCGAAACAAAAATCGCATTCATGCAGTGAACAATGTTAGATTTAAATCAGAAGAATATTGATTTACCTGAAGAAACGATGACCTGGGTTCCTGCTCCCCAGACATCAAAGCCATAGTTACACAGTAACACAATAGACTTGGAACAGTGTACTTAATATTCTAAGGACAGGTGTTATAAAGGAAAAATCTAGAACTTAGGTGATCCCTTCTTTCAAGCCCTTTGGTCCCAGTAAATTAAAAGCATCCCCTTTATTTTCAAATGAGTTTTTCTCCACTCTAATCTCTTAGAAGAAATCAAATAAATTACCCATATATATATATATATTTACCCATATGTATGGGTAATTTACATATACCAATTTTCCCCACTACAGTCTTGAAATTTCTTTGTAGAGCATATTACAAGTACAATTTTGTTAATGCCAGTCTTTCTGGACTCTTGTAAATATATAGAAAACATATTAAAAGGTTTTCACAAAGGGGAAAAATTACAGTAGCTATAAAGAAAGGTGAATGGGAGAGTAATTTTGGTATTTGTCTTATCAGCTATATGCAAAACTAAATATTCAGTTCTCAATAAAAAATCACAAAGAAAAATAGTTCTAAGTGGGTACATCAGGAGGAAAAGTTTTTACCTGATGTAACGGTGACGGTGGTGCCTTGTCCCCAGTGGTCAAACCAGCCATCACATTGGAATTTGTTTATGGGTAGATCCTACAAGAACCTTGTTTTCTCAGGCAATTTATTAGCTGATTAATTCTACTGCTCAGTTTGAAGGCTGAACTTCTAAACACATTTATTTGGAAGAAAACCCCATGGCACTCAATGGGACTTTCTTCCAAGAAAACATGTATAGAATAAGCCTATAAGAAAGTTTTAAGATTTTCAGAAGTTGGCTACATAAAAGTCTACACCTATTTTACATTTCAGTCCTAGGCACTTGAAGTAAATTAGAAGTAAATTGTAATGATTTAAATGAAAAAAAAAATGCTTTCTTTTCACGCAAGTGAGTTTAAGATTGTGATTTGACAGTATTATATGAATATGAGAACTGTCTTTCTGGATTGGACCAAAGGTCCAGGCGCTCCAAATTCTATCCCAGGCAGTCATCCTAAAATTCTGGGACAATCTCATTAAACTAAATTGGACTCCCCTTGACTAGTACCATGGCCTTTCCTTAGTTCCTAGAAACAGTCCCCAGCAGGAATCCCGCAATCCCGACACGTCACAATAGAAAAGACTAACTTTACAAACTTAGGGAAAAACAAGAAAAATGCAGTTGACAATAAGGAGGTTTAAAAGGAATTAAAAATCATACCTGAAGTGACGACGACCATGGTCCCTGACCCCCAGTAGTCCATGTAGTCACACTACCTCAACCCTTTCTATGCCATGTACAAAAACCTAATGAGGGATACTGTTGTCCTTTACAACCTACGCCAGTTCTCACTATTTCCTAAATGATTGTTTTGTTTTGGGGGGAACTTTAATTGCCCGAAGACACAGAACAGAAGTAGATTTTAATTTTCCCAGAACTAACCAGATGCTTCAATAACAGCAACAAAGAGTTGCCCGACAACTGAAAGACCAACAGATTTATTCTGGCAAAATATTTGGTAGTTTTTTTTTTGTCTTAAGACCCAATTAAGGTAAAACCTCAAGATGCCAAAATAGTCTTTCTTTCTTTGGTTACAAATGACTGTGTTAGTTACTTTTCTAGAATTAGATGTTTTGATGAAAAAGTTAGTGGCTTTGGGATATACATTCCTAGATTTAGGTTAGGTTACATAAACACTGAAGCTACATTGGTTAAGATACTTATTTTAACCCATTGATGTCTTATTTAAGAACATTGATTATTCTGGAGTAACCAGGTGATGAAAGACAGTCTAAGCTACTAGACTTCTATTTATCTGACAATCAATTTGAACAGGGGAGTGGGGAGATAAAAACAGCACAAAATTCTTAAAAAAATACCAGATAGAATGGAGAAACAAATCTGACTTACCACTGGTCACTGTAACTATGGCACCTTGACCCCAGATGTCAAAAGCATCGTCACAGTGGTAATAATCTGTGTCTCAGATGTCTAAAAATATGTTCCCTCAGACCTCAAATTGTCAGAGGTGTCACCTGTCCATCTATTCGACATTTTGTATTTTATACTATACAAAAGTGCACAACTGCATTCTCTCCCTCTTTTCATTAAAACTATATTTCCTATAGGGACCTCTCCCCAGCTTGTGTTTAAGACATTTAGAAAGGATAAAGTGACAAAGACCTTACTGAAAAAAAATCTGGATTAAATATTAAAATCAATGGAAAAAATGAAATAGAAAATCTTTACCTGAAGTTACAGTCACTGTGGTCCCTTGACCCCAAACATCAAATGCAGCATAGTAATCACATTGATTACTTTGCTAACACTGCAGGAACAAAAACTGAACAAGATTTTTCTGTCACTAAGAAAAAGACTACTATACCAATATGATGACATCGGTCATTCTTTTCAGAATATTGAGTAAATCCAAAGTGGATTAAATCCACTTGGACTCAGAGAATTGTCTGTTCAGTTTTCCATGCTATTTCATAATTTTCTGAACTATTTTATAATAAATTGGTTATTAACCAGTGCTCCCAAAAGGTCACTATTTCTTTTAAAAAGTTATATCTATTCATGAAAGTTTGGAAAGCGAGGGAATTCAGAAACTGGTTTCTAATTCTTCTAAACCTCTGATAGTAACATGGGAACAACATAGATCTGCCTGTTCAGTATTTAGGCAAAGAGAGTTTTTATGGGGCAAACATTTACAGCACTTAAGAATAAAATTTATTACCTGAGGTAACGGTTACGATAGTGCCTCGTCCCCAGAAGTCAAAGATGCACAGAAGTACTTTTGACTTTTGACTTTAGCATGAAATCCCCCTCTTTCTTACACACACACATGTTAACTCAAATGTCAACTATTTGCTTATTTCACTGGCAAGAAACTGTTTTTGGGCGAAAAAGTACCATAAAGACCAGATACAGTAGTCAAAAGCATACCGGTTGTAAACTGTAAATTGTTGCCTAAACTTCTCTGTTCAAATACCCCTGCAAAAGCTGACCTCAAAAATGGAAACTCCAAAGGAATTCATGTCGGAGAGAAGAACTTGATTGAAAAATGAGATACTTACCTGTTGTGACAGTAACCATGGCGCCTTGTCCCCAGGAATCGAAAGCCCTGTCACACACTAACTCTCTTCTCTAAGGGATCTAAAAATTTTCGCTCTAACTTTGGCTGCTTTTTGTGCAAGATACTGTCCTACTCTGGGCTTATCCTATGACCTGAACATTTATTCCAGGGTTTCCCTGATAGATTTCTGTTAAATAAATATTCCTGGCCTACATGGAAATAGGGTTTATTATTTTATTTATTAAAACTTTTATATGCCGCCCCATTCGCCGAAGCCTCGGGGCGTCTCACAACATAAAAAAAAACAATAATAACAATATAAAATAAATAACAATATAAAAGAAGTCGCCCTGGCCAGATAAAATAAGCAAAAACTGTTAATTAAAATGACGCTTAAATAAAAAGGTCTTCGCTTGGCGCCGAAAAACAAATAACGACGGCGCCAGGTGGACCTCTCTGGGTTCCAGGGCCACATAGCATCTGGGTCATATTGCAATAACACATGGACAAATCCAAGCAATGATATGAAGAAGAAAATGTTTACCTGAAGTCACTATCATTCCCTGTGCCACCTACTTCCAAGTCACTGCACAATGACGGATTTTATATAACAAAAATGTAGTTCTTTGCCCAATTGACTAGTACCATGGCCTTTCCTTAGTTCCTAGAAACAGTCCCCAGCGGGAATCCTGAAATCCCGACACGTCACAATAGAAAAGACTAACTTTACAAATTTAGGGAAAAACAAGAAAAATGCAGTTGACAATAAGCAGGTTTAAAAGGAATTAAAAATCATACCTGAACTGACGACGACCATGGTCCCTGACCCCCAGTAGTACATGTAGTCACACTACCTCAACCCTTTCTATGCCATGTACAAAAACCTAATGAGGGAACAAATTTAGTTTGTTCTAGGAAAACAAACCTTTACAACACTATCCTAGATATCTCTATTCAAAAGCAAATCCAAAGCAATCTTCTAAAGAAATGGCTCAGGATTGCAACTGCGGATGTAGTTTTCTGTCTTACAACTTTTTGGTACAAAAGAGTCTCAAAATTCATTTTCAGAGTAGCCAGTTGGTAAATTGTAACAGACAGAAAGAAATTCAAGAATCAATGGGGCAAAGGGCTGGTCATGATGATAGGTCTGCCTTAAGACAATGTATTTCACTGAAATGCTGATCCTAGATTGCACAAAAAACAAACCAAAAAGAAACCACAAAAAACCTAGTTTGGACAGAAGGATTCCAATTAAAGATAAGAATCAAGAACTTACCTGATGTGACTGTGACTTGGGTTCCTTTCCCCCAGTACTCGAAGTAGCACGTCATCCAACTCTCTTTTAATGGATGTGCAAATTTTCATTTCAGTCTGGTCTTAAGGTTCAACTGCTACTCCAAATGGGTGTTGCATTTTAACTAGTATTACAGACCTATTTTGTCCCCACTGGTTATTGTTCCACATACATTAATGCCCCGATTAATATGTTAAAAACTTTGTTAGATACTCTGTTGTTTTCTTGACTTGGAGAGAAGCTCTGCTTAGAAAATTGAGTCATTTTATCTGACTTACTGGAACATAGGAGAACAAAAGTTGCATTGGGTGCAACTCATCTCATGAAGGACTGAAGAATTATTTCTTGGGTGCTTCCTGGATTCTTTAGATGTAGGTGATCAGAGTCCTCCCACAACCTCCCACAAGGATGAGGGAGATGGCCTCTTCCAGAGCAGAGAGGAGAAATCCATGGATGTGTAAGAAATGCTTGGAAAGCATGGATAAGAAAGCAACAAAGGCAAAGAGGAAGGAAAACTGGTTGAGTGGGTTCAGATGTTAGAGAGAGCAAGCTTGACCCAGTTTTCAACAGAGGAGAGCCATCTGTATCACAGAGCCATTAAATGCAGGTCATAAGGGATCAATCAGAGAGCTCAAAGGTGAGGATCAATGAGAACTCTTTTGCTCACTTAAAGGACATTGCTTGGTTATTTCTGCCAGGGAGCATTTGCATCTAACAATTGGCATGATAACTGTGCTGGATTTCCTGCCATGAACCACCAGCAATAAATAAATAAAAATTAATAGCACCAAGAAGCATCTTGGCACAGTCTGAAAAATGATTCAGAAAAGCCTGGCCACATACTTTATCTCAAATTTCTCAGGTTTCCGTTGCACTTTTATTTTCTTTTTTAAGCAAGCTTCTGGGTAGAGCATGAAGGAAGGAAATACTTATCCTCTTTCAGAACATGAGATCCTAATTCCTCGGTCATGTTCTTGCTAGGTTTGTTCAGTTAGAGTCTTGTTTTTTATTATTATTATTATTATTATTATTATTATTATTATTATTATTATTATTATTATTATTATTACATTTCTATGCCGCCCCTTGCCAAAGCCTCGGGGCGGCTTACAACACAATAAATTACCCAGAAAGCTTGTATTATGACACATGCACAGTTTTGATCCTATCTTGGTCACTAGCCTATGGTGTTAGACACAACCCTCCCAACTCACAGGCTTGGGGTCATCCAGAGCAAAGCAGGATGTGCCCCCCCCCCCCCCAATCCTCTCCTCCTGCATTTTGTGCTGGACAAACACCTTTGCCCATTTTGCTGGAATGTCTCAGAAGGGGAGCAAAGAAAGCTGGAGAGGCCTAGGATAACTCATACCAGGGACGTGCCGCTCTCCTTCCTTTCCTTGAAAATGGCCCCTTTTCTCCCCTCTGCCAGGCTGTCCTCCTGATCCTATGGAGCAGCTGCTGCAGTTCTTTCTGGACCCACTGCAAGGAGGGAAGGAGCAGCTCGGTCTCGTGAGGCTGGAGCACTCTTTCTAATTACTCACACAGGTACAGACAATGCAGGTTTAAAGCCTTTTATTCTAAACATTTCAAAGATAATCAGGCAATGGATAATACAGGAGCAGTCAATGGTAGTTCTAAGCAACACAGTTGCCCCCTCCTTTCTGACCTCTCTCAGATTTATGATGTACTCTTAACCCGACGGGAACGGACCTTCCCCCGGGGGCTAGATAAACTCCTCTCCCTCCTTTGACTTTGCCTCTCTTCTAATTGGCCCAAGCGCCGAAGTCTTCTCCTCAGCTGGGCATTCTCCATGGCAACGGACACTCCCACGGCCGGCTCATGAACGTTACCAGGAACTTGTATAAAAACTTCATCAGAGTCAGGTGGCGGCGGGGTGTGTGTGTGTGTGTGTGTGTTTGTGCCATGCGCACCAAGTAGAAATCTTCTTGCTCTAAAGCAGGAGTCTCAAACTCAACTTACCTGGGGGCCGCTGGAAGTAGAGTCTGGGTGAGACTGAGGTGCATCAAGTATTCCACCACCACGGTGGTGGTGAGCCGCTCATCCCGCGGCCGGCCCGGGTGCTACCGGCGCTTTGAAGGCCACAGGGCCCCTCCCCCGTGCCCTGCCCGTCCCGGCAATTGGCCCGTGGGCCCGCGAGTTTGAGACCCCTGCTCTAAAGCCTGACTCTCGCTGGGAGTTTCTTGCACTCTTACACATGCTAACGACTCCTCTGAGTCATTAGGCACGACACTCTCCAATCACGGTTCTGAGTTTGGAGCACCATCTCCAACCACAGATCTGGGATTGCCAACTATCCTATAGCTCATCCAATGCACTGTATGGGCCATAGGACTGCTGTCTTATTTATCCATATATCTATGAAATGCATTATCCAGATTTTATAGTAAATAAACTCAAAGGTGGGAAAAATGAATAAAGTGTGATAAACTCATGCTATAGGCACTCAATCTGCCCAGGAAAGATGACTTACTGTACAGATTAGAAAGGTAACCACTCCGACTCTCTCTGTTTCTCTGTAATAAGCATAAATAAATTTATATTGAGAGGCAGATGAAGATTATGTAAGATGCCTTGAGTTCCTTCCAAGGAAAAAAAGCTGAGATATAAATTTAAGAAATAAATAATTAATACAAACTGCAGCATCCAATAGAAAATGCTGTATTGAAAAAGTCATCATCATACAGCTTTTCTTTTCTTTTTAAATTTGATTTGTATCCTACCCTATTGCAAATCAAGACAGCATACTAGGGTGTGGCAGAAATACCTCCCACATTTTAAAGGATAAAAAAAGGAAAAAGAAACAACATTTATTAAAAATTAATTTCACTATTGTCTAAACAAAGGGTTACAGTTTTTATTCGTTTGGTTTTAAAAATTACATCCTCCAAATGGTGGCCTCTATTCACTATACACTGTTGTAGATGATTTCTGAAGTTTTCCATCACTTGAAGAGTTATTCCAGGAGGTATTTCTGCAATCTTTTGATGAATAGCATCCTTTAATTCTTCAATGGTACCCTGTCAATGTTTGTAGACCTCTGCTTTCAAGTTACCCCAGAGAAAAAAATCACAGGGGTTGAGATCGGGTGAGTGTGCAGGCCATTCAATGTCACCGCGTAAGGAAATCAAACGTCCTGGAAAATTTCCCTCAGAGCTTCCATTAATCTTCTTGCTGTGTGCACAGTGGCTCCATCTTGCTGAAACCACACATCCTGATTGCAAAGGTCATTTACTTTTGGTTCCAGAAAAGTCTGCAGCATCTCCACATACCGGTCAGATGTTACTGTAACTGAGTGGTTTCTCTCCTCAAAAAAATAGGGTCAGACAATCCCAAGGCAGAAGCATGTTTACGAGTTGAACATGTAGGAGACTGAGTAACAGAAAGTCTCACAGCTTGAATACTTTCTGGAGTTCGAGCCCTTTGAGGTCTTCCAGGTGGCTTTAAGTGCTGAACCTGTGGCTCTGAAATTTGCAACCCATAGCAGTATTGTTTTTCTATCCGGAACAGCATTCCGACCTAACATGTAATGACTTCGAAAAGTTCTCAGTGTTGCAATTACAGATTCAGCATTCTTCAAAAACTCTGCTACAGCAAAAGCACACTGTGCACCAGTCCAAACCATATTGCTAGATGTGGGTAAATGAAAAAAAAAAAAAAAGGGACGTCATTAGCTAAATGAAGACATCATTGGCACTTGCATAAGTTCATTAGCAACACATAGGTGAAAGTTTAAAATGTGGGAGGTATTTCTGCCGCACCCTGTAAAAAGCAGAGACATCACCCGGCCGACAAAAGTGTGTATAGTCAAGGCTATGGTTTTCTTGGTTGCAATGTATGGCTGTGAAAGCTGGACCTTAAGGAAGGCTGTGCGCCGAAGAATTAAGGCCTTTGAATTGTGGTGCTGGAGGAGACTCCTGAGAGTCCCTTGGTCTGCGAGGAGATCGAACCAGTCAGTCTTAGAGGAGAGCTACCCTGACTGCTCTTTAGAAGGCCAGATACTGAAGGTGAAACTCAAATAGTTTGGCCACCTAATGAGAAGGAAGGACTCCCTGGAGAAGAGCCTGATGCTGGGAACAATTGAGGGCAAAAGAAGAAGGGGGCGGCAGAGGATGAGGTGGCTGGATGGAGTCACTGAAGCAGTGGGTGTGAGCTTAGGTGGACTCCAGGGGATGGTGGAGGACAGGAAGGCCTGGAGGAATGTTGTCCATGGGGTCGCGATGGGTTGGACACAACTTTGAGACTAGCAACAACAATAACAACAACAAGCAACATACTATCCAATAACTACCCAGGTTCTCTGGGGAGTTAACAAAAGTTGAGAAAAAATGTAGGAATTAGGGATAACATGCTATTATGAAATAATGCAATGCAATGCAATATATTACAATACTTTTCATTTATTGAAAGTGTGTGTGTGTGTGTGTGTGTGAGAGAGAGAGAGAGAGAGAGGGAGGGAGGGAGGGAGGGAGGGAGAGAGAGAGAATTCTTCAGATCTCTTAGGGGGAAAGTAGCCTGATTTCTGCAAAATCTGAACATTTTCAGGTGTAGTTCAGGTGTTGTGCAGCCTGGTGGTGAGGCAGTTTGGTCCTGAAACTCACTGGGTGACTGTGGGTCAGACACTCACCAGAGGGATGTTTCTGTGAGGATAAATTGGAACTTTGTAGGTTGCCTTGAGTTCCTTGCAAGAAGAAAAAGGCAGACTATAAATGCAATGTAATAATAATAATGGCAAAATGTTATTTCCATCTCAAAGGCAGTATTCCTAGGTGCACCTGATGTCAGGAAAAGTAGGTGGGTGGGACATGACATAGATGCACACATTTGTGCCTAGTGTGGAGGGAGAAAGAAGACGGAAAGAAATTGTCTTCCTCTCTCACAGCAGAACATGTGGTCACTCCATGAAGCTCCCATGGTGAGAGATTCAGGAGAGAGAAAGGAATGTCATCTTCATACTGCACGTAACTATGGAATTGGGCTTCCACAAGATTTGTGTGTAGCCACCAGACTGGGATGTCTTGAAAAGGGGATTGGGCACCACATATAC